TCTTAAATATGCAGCTTTACGAGAAGGCATTAGATTTGTTTGAAGATGACCAGTCAACTTCTGTAATTTCTTCCTACAATAGTTGATTTTTGAAGAGGTTGCTCTTGGTGATGAAATGGCTTATGATAGACTTTTTCTGTTTTATAGGTTACTTTGCACAGGCATTTGCTTAGAACTGTTGCCACTTCTATAGCTGATATCCTTCTCCATAACCTGGTAGAACTTATTTGCTGCTCTTGTTTTAATTGACTTTCTATGATCCTATTCTGATGATTTAAGTATGTCTAATGGTATGTGATTCATCCTTTATAGGACATACACAACAAATTAAAAAATGGGGCTCAAGTTGAAGATTCTCAAAATTCAGAAAGCATTTCACTTAGCCCTGGTGAAAGAACTGCTATAGTATGAGATGATTCTTAACCCCTTTAATTTTTAATATGGATAATGATGGGTGGCAATTAGTTTTGATATACTGCCTTTTGCTTGTTCAGGCTAAGAGCTTTCCAGGATCTCATTCTAAAAGGGCTCTGGCACTGGTTGAAGCTTTGGAAGGGAAGGTCAGTTCTTGTTTATTAAAACATGAATTATGAGGATTTACCTGTTTCTGATAATGATTCACTGCAAAAAATAAGTTAAGAAAACATGATGTTCTTGTTTGTCTTAACTTATGCCATCTCTGTTATTGTTAATAGATAGCAGATACTCTCTGTGTATTTCTTACGACCGTATTTTTCTAGATATACTTCCATGAATTATAACTTTGGATTTTCTATGCATCAGCGGGTGGAGACATTCATGACTGCACTGAGAGACCTGGCTGAGGAGAGGTTATATTCTTTCTATTAAACTATCCGTGGCATCTTTGTGGGCTTTGGGCATTATTTTTACATGAAGTTGTATTTATGTTGATCATGTATAATGTAACATTTTATGTTCCATTTTTGCAGTGGGTTACTCCTGAAAAAGCTTGACAAAAAATTGGAAAGAACTCTTTTGCATTCATACCGCAAGGTATGCTCACTGTACTTGATTATTGATTTGTAAAAAAAAAAAAAAAAAAAAAAACACATATACTGCATCCATATTGTTTCAAGACCTTTATGTTCTTAAAGCTCTGCAGCAATGATGATATGGCTGGGTGGTATGTCAAGGCATGCTAGTGCACAATTCTCTTTTGCTGTTATTAAAATTCAAGATTACACTTGGACTCAATGGCTCATCTGCTAGCTCATAGCATGATCTGTCTTTAAACATGTTTGTGTGTGTTAAAATCTTCTCTTAATGGTTTCTAGTAGGGGTGAGCAATTGGTCGATCTTGAAAATACAATAACCAACTTAACCAACCTCATATAAAATAATAACTGAAACAGACAGACTTTAAGTACATAACTGACGATAACTGAAACCGACTTAGGTTGATTCAGTTGGTTTCAATCTGTTTTACCAATTTTTTTCACTAACTCAAAACAGAACAAATTTGATAACTAACATATGTTGAGGTATTTTAACAAATACTAGGTAGACGTTGTCTTATGTACATAGAAACAAGCTTTTGGGTGGTCAGGAAAGATTCCCTGCAGCACAAACACAATATTTACAAAGTTCTCTATGCAATGTGCTCACTACAACACAGCTAGGGGTGAGCAAAAGTCAGGGGTAACCAACTTAACTGACCTAAACTGACAAAATCCAGTTAATTCATATCGTTCTAATCGATTTCAGTAAAAGGCAGTTTGGGACATTGGTTTTTCAACTATTCCAGTTGGTGTTCGGTAACCAATTTAACCCATTACAAATATACATGATTTTAAAATATTATATATGGAATATAAATAATAAAATACCTTTAAGAAAATCCTAACATACATTCGTAAAAGTATTTTATTATTTACATTCCGTATATAATATATTTAAAAAATAATTATATTTGTAATTGATTAGTTCGGTTGCTAATTTTGGTAATTGAACACTGACCAAATTAGTTGAAAAAATCGATGTCTCTAAATGATTTTTACCAAAATCGATTAGACCGAATTAACCAAAATTTATCTGTTTCGGTTGGTTACAGCCTACTTTTCGCACCCCTAGTTTGTGGCATATTATACTAGTGAGTAGTGAGTGGAAATCTTCTTTTTTTCTTTTGTAGATGCTGGATGTAGAAGTTAATAGAAAGCGTAAAATGGTTCAATGACAGAGCTTGGTCCTTTTTTTTATTTTCAGGATTTGACTTCTCAAGTTTCTGCTGAAACTGACCCTGTTTCTCTTCTGCCAAAAGTTGTTTCCCTACTTTATATACAGGTTAGTAGATAGAACACCCAACCACTTATATTTAAATGCCTAACTCTAATTCTTTTGCTCAATTCAAATATGGATGCTATTCTTAGGTTCACAGTAGAGCTCTTCAAGCCCCTGGAAGGGCAATCTCTGTTGCTGTAACTCGATTGAAGGTACGCAGTTGTAAAGCTGCTCTTTGCACGTGTATTCTTTTTTTACTGTATTTTTCTTGAACCGTGTAAAAATTTTTATGAAATATTTGTGTCCATTTTTGTCTTCAAGCATGCTTTTTGACATCAGCTTGAACAGTCTAGGATATTTGAAGGACAGTGGTAAAATCTAGAAACTTATGTTGGACACCAAATAGAACCTAAAGCTAGATAAATCATTTTAGCTAAGGCTATGCATGAACATCTTGTTTCTTAACTCATGTTTTGTAACTTTTTCTGGGCACTAGTTTAAATAGTTTAATTATTATATTTTATATATGCTGCTGTGTTGTTCCTTCTTTCAGGATAAACTAGATGATTCAGCGTACAAGATCTTGACAGATTTCCAAACTGCAACAGTGATGCTTTTAGCACTTATGTCTGCTGCAACTGGTGATGTAAGTAAAGTTTTACAATTCTATTGATATAATCTTTGATCTTAAGCAAATTGTCGTTGATATTTTGGCACAAATTTCTGATTGAGTTTTCCTGCTCATTAGTGAACAAGGGTGTCTCCATATTAAAAAATAATTAGGTTTTGACAATGCATTTCGAGTTTACTTATGAATTATTTTTCCCCCACTTCCCTCTTCCCAAGCCTCTTTGTTTTTGTTTTTCAATGCTGGCTATTGCTTCATGTTATTCCCTTTTTGGTTTTGGCAGGAACAAGACTGTTCATCTGATAGAATTTTGAGTAAAAAGGAGCTTTTGGAGAGCCAAATGCCGGCCCTAAAAGCTCTGGTTTTAGGCTCCTCACAAGCTTGAGTTACGATGGAATCAAACCTGAAAAGGCAATAGATTGAAGGGTTTGTGATTCTATAAAAGGCCTGTTAGACAGCTGAGACGAACTTCTTCTCTCGAGGCTAGCCATCGCATATTTCTCTTTCGAATGACAGCTGAGTCACTCTTTTGTTGTAGTGTCTCCTCTCAAAGCAAGCAAACTGAGTGGCCTGAAAATTATATTCAAAGGAAAAATAGAAAGCCAACTGAAACTAGTCTATAGGAGTGGTGGGGATGCTAACTTCAATGTACGTTACTTATTTTTCAGCTTTAGTGGATGTCAAATATTGGGAAAACATACTGTTTTAAGATTTACAGACGTAGATTCTAATTTTTTAAAAAAGTTATAAAAAAACCTTTTGAACTATTTTTTTTTCTTAAATAAGTTCATTTTTTTTATTATACTCAAATAAATTTTTATATTTTATTTGTATTGAAATAAATTTTTACATCAAATAAAAACTGATTTAAGTCAAAGATTTATTTAAGTACAAATTAAAAATTAAAAATTTATTTAAATATAAATTAAAAGTTAAAAGATTTATTTGATCAGTGTTTATTTAAGCGTAATAAGTATATAAAAATTTATTTAAATAAAACAAAATGATAAAATTTAGAGTTTATAAGGTTTTTTTTTTTTTAATATAGTTTGATTGACGGAAAGATTAAATTTCCAAAAAATTGATGCAATGAATATAAATCTTTGTCGGCAGTTGAATCATTAAGACCCAATTCATGAATTTTATTATTACCACGACGACCGTGGCTATACGTTCTGCTATTTACGTTCAATGTAATCAATTTGGAAGGACATAGCTTGAGACATTTCCTGTGTCATTACCAGGTATACCTCTAGCCCCGTTGTTTTCATCGACATTTTTTTTTTTATTTTTTTAATTTTGCTGTCTATAAATTATTGCTACGTACTCACTCTAATTCCCTGTAACTTCACAGCTTATTTTGTACGTACCTTGGACGGAACCTAGTCCTAGTAACTGACAGAAACATTTCATGTATGTTAGTAAATATCATAATACTTGGAATTCCGTATCAGTTTCTCTGTAAAAGAGAATTCAAGGAATTTTCACAGAACTTACCTCACTGCTTCTTTGGCCAACTATAATAATATTATTCACAACTTGCTCCTTGGTATCCGACAATAGGGTGGGCGATAAAGGAAGTGCGAACGCAATGTTACAAGCTGTTAATGTTTTGGTTAAAATAATAAAAAATATTTCTGAATTAATTCATTTTTCTTAAATAAATTTCTTATATTTTTATTATACTCAAATAAAATTGTATTTTTTCATTTAAATAAGTTTTTATTTTGAACCAAAAATTTATTTATGTTAAAAATTTATTTCCGTGTAAATTAAAAGTTAAAAGCTTATTTAGATATAAATTAAAAATTAAAAATTTATTTGAAAACAAATTAAAGATTTGGAAACAATAAAAATATATAAATTTATCTAAATAAAATGATAAAATTAAAAAAATGTATTAGTTTAGCCTTAATTATCATTGCATTTTCAAAACGGTTGATTTTGGCGGTGGTGAAACAGACATAACACAAGAATTTCTTGCAATCATCAAACGTCCCAGCTTCAATATTTTGTATCCTCGAGCACTACCATCCAATCTTCTTTTTACTTGAAAGCATCACCATTTGCCTTAACAGCTATTCCTTTAACCCCCAGCTTACTTTGCAATGAGAGGTTCTAAGGAAGAGCTACAATGAAAAAGATTTTGTTGTTCGCAATTTTCTTTGCTCAAAAAGCCTTTTCTCAAGGTATGCTACTACTCACTTATCTATAATCTATACCCATCCATCTTCTTTACTTCAACATGTCATTTACAACTGGCTTAGACAACCAAACGAAATGTCACCTCATTCAATGATTGATCAAACTTGTTATGTGGGAGATGATACTTATAAATCTGTAACTTATTCCCTCTTGCAATCTTTAATCCTTTCATATTCCATTATATATGTACTGATACTAACTTGAAAAAGTTAATCTCACAAGTCATTTGAGCCATGAGATTTGCCATTGCAGACAATAGCAATAGATAATAATGTAATTATTCTTCCACACTGATGCATGCTTTGAATACCTGTATAAGATACATGGGACTGGGTGAGGATAGACTGTGGATCAGACACGAGCTATAAAGATGCAAATGGGGACACTTGGAAGACAGACGAGGATTTCATTAAGACAGGTAACAATGAACGGGTTCCTCAAAACATCGCTTCCAAAGTAGAGCAACTGAACACGCTGCGTGTCTTCAAGGAACAAAACAAGAATTGTTACACTTTGCCTACACCTACATCAACCAGATATCTTGTGAGAGCTATGTTCCTGTATGGCAACTATGATGGCCTCTCCAAGCCACCAACCTTTGACCTTCAGTTCGATGGAAACAAATGGGCTACTGTTGTGACTACCATGACTAATTTCACCTATTATGAAATGATTTACGCAACCAAGGGGGAAAGCATTAGTGTTTGTCTAGCTCGAACTCAAGATCAACAGTTCCCCTTCATTTCCAGCTTGGAATCCTTGCCATTGCCTGCTGATATGTACGCCCAGATGAGAAGGGATATGGCTTGGTTCAATAGCTATCGCTACAATTATGGAGCCAATGATTGGATTCTTGGGTAAGACATTACACTTAACATGGAAGGAGAGAACCAAATTTGGGATCTTAAATGTGTTAGCATTTGAGATAGATCTATAGACCTTGAAACAATATCTAGCATAACTTGTGCTATATATCAGGTACCCTGATGATAAATACAACCGCATATGGGAGCCCCTGATTCCATCGGGCCTGGAGCCAGTAACTGCAAATTTCACTTCCCTTGAAGTTACATCCGTTAATGTCCCTCCGGATTCTGCAATAATCGAAGCAGTTCAGGCTTCAAGTTCAACAGACAAAATTGACTTGAGTTTCACTTTTGGCAATGTAAGCCACCTTGACCATGTGGAAATGTACTTCACTGAACCATTTCTGGAAAATGGTGCTACCAGATCATTCAATGTAATTGTGAACAATGATTTCGTAAATTCTACCAGCCCAGAATATCAGAAATGTCTCAGCATATGGGCAAATGCCCTGTCTCTCGATGCTTTGAATGTTCAGCTAGCACCAACTGATGATTCCACATTGCCTCCAATAATAAGCGCCATAGAAGTTTACACTATTAGTGAACCTCTTGTCACTGCAACTACATCACAAAACGACTGTAAGATGCATTTCCCCTAAAATTTTCTTCTCCTCCATCTAATATTTATTTTTTTTGGTTTAACTTAAAGATGGTGTTTGTTAAAAAGTGGATGGATTAGGAGAGTTCGTTGACAACTTTGAACAGCTGAAGGGATGGAGCGGGGAACCTTGTCTCCCTAATGACACCATCTGGCAATGGTTAAACTGCAGCGGCGATCAACCTCCAAGAGTAACTTCAATGTATACTTACTTTACCAACTGCCATATATATGTCACCCTGAGATTGAAGCATGCTCCCTTTTAGACCAAACAACTTGATTGTCCTGAAGACAAATCTCTGCCAGTATCCATTTTGCTGTCAACATTTCTGGCCTAGATAGAAAGTTCCTTGACCGAAACGGAAAATGCCACAATTCCAGGCTGCAAACTTCTCTTACACCTAAGACTTAAATGCAAATTTAGTTCATAAACACAAAATACTACCTGCAATGTTAAATGTGATAGGTTCAATAGCGTGAGATAACTGTTAACTCTAAGCAAAAATTTTATAATGTTACAGATATCTCTCTGGATATGGTCTCCAAGGTTCTCTCCCAGATTTCAGCCAAATGGATGCCCTTGAAATAATGTGAGCTATTTAACCATTCACCACAACACCTTAAAAACATAATCCTCTGCTTCTTTTAAGCTAATACATTTGTGTTGTTTCCTTCTTTGTATCAGAGATCTGCATAATAACAGACTTAATGGCGAAATTCCAGAATTTCTTGGAAAGCTGCCTAACCTACGGCGACTGTCAGTAATTAACCTGTTCAATACATCCGTAGTTAGTAACAATGTAAAGTACTTCTATAGTAATCTGAATTCTCAACTAAATCATTTTTTTCCTTTTCTTTTATATTTCTCAGTGACCTCCGTGATAATGATTTTTCTGGCAATGTTCCAGAAACTATAACTGATAACAGGCAAATCAAATACATGTAAGCATGCTCATCATTGGCTCTACTTTTGAGTTCAACCTTTGCTACTTTTAAATCTTACCATTGTTCCCTTTATGTCTGAGCAGGATAGATGGGAATGAGAATTTAAATCACCGAAAAAACAAAAAGGCTGAGAAAATTGTGGCCTATGTCCTTGCATCAGTAATAGGAGTGTTTATTGGTTTTTACTGTGTTGGGAAATATTATGAACAAAGACAAACTCCTCAAACTCAAGGACAAATAGCACAAGTCAGAGTGGAGAATACTCCAGAACCATGGCCAACCTCTCGAGAACGACTGGAGGTTACAGTGCGGGAGACTGTGGAGGTAAATCACGTCAACATGAGAAGATACTGAGTTAGCTATACCTTTATCAAATCAGTAAAGCACTTAAGGATTTGATTGAGAAATTCTGTATCTTATCTTCCTGTTCCTGTGATTGTAATAATTGTAATGCAAACAATGAGTCCAAAGAGTGCTCAAATGTACAACTCTTTTACACATTCCATTCCCTTACTAACAAAAAACTAGTACCTTTACCCGGACAATACTAGAGGAAGAGATTATGAGCAAAAGGCTGCTAGGCTTTTTTTTTTTTTCATTGTCAGCATGGTTCAATGCCTCTTTAACATTGAGGCCTTTTCTGCGTGCTAACTGATTACATTATCATATTCGAGATTGGTTATCTCAAACTCTTCCTTGCCTCGTTCAACATCTGGGTCAATCAAAATTTTACAGTCCAAATAAGGCATGACAGACAATTTTACATCATGACCGATTGGTTTCCTAAAGTACGTATATATGCGGTTAAATTATTAATGCATAAAGCCTTATCATATAGGAACTTACACAGAATATTCATGATTCCTGAGCATGAAAGATCAGTCTAATTAAGAAGGACGTCGATATCACCTTCAATTATATATGAAATTTTTTTGCATTGTTGCACTTCTCTAATGGTTGCCTTTCCTTTCCTGCACAAGCGCATGCAGGACAAAATTTGTACAATTGCTAACAGCTTCTTCTGCCAACCAGACAAATAATAAAATATCTTGTTTCCTTGTTTCCTTGTATTAGATAATATAAACAACAAGGAAAAATAGAAGTGTGAACGCCTATGCTAGAAGTTGTTTTCACCACCTTTTTTAAAACAACCTATTAGACCATAATGAAACTGACAAAAACATAAAAACCTCGTCATTTTCTTGTGGTCATCAAAACGTGTGAGGTCCACTACCCTATTGCTTTCCTAGCTATTAATTTCCTATTTAAGTCAATTCATATATTCCCCCAAGAAGACACTTTGTTAGTTACTGTTAGCTTCTAATGACGGATCCTGAGAAAGAGCTTCAATGAGAAATTCCTTCTTGTTTGTGATTTTCTTTGTGCTAAAAGCCCTATCTCAAGGTATGCAATTATTTAACATTGCAAACAGTCATAATATATAATCATTCTGCCATTACAATTTGATAGATACTTTGAATGGCTGCAACAGATACATCAGAATGGGTGAGAATAGACTGTGGATCACAAGTTAGCTATCCCGATGAAAGTGGAGTTCTTTGGCAGACAGATGAGGATTTTATTAAAACGGGTAAAAACCAAATGGTGTCACTAAGCAGCCGTACCTTCGTAGACCAATATGACACCCTACGTGTCTTCACCGAACAAAACAAGAATTGCTACTCTTTGCCTGCCACAGCATTCACCAGATATTTCATAAGAGCTGTTTTCTTGTATGGTAATTATGATGGCCTCTCCAATGCACCTACGTTTGACCTTGAGTTTGATGGGAACAAGTGGGTCACTGTTGTAACTGACATATCTAAATTTTCCTACTATGAAATGATTTATGTAGCCAAAGGGGATATCACTAGTATTTGTTTGGCTCGAACTAATGATAAACAGTTTCCCTTTATTTCCTTCCTGGAATTCTGGCCAGTTCCTGATAAAATGTATGCCAATATGACAAATGATAGGGCCTGGTTCAATGGCTACCGATACAACTATGGGGCAGATTCGAAAGACTGGATTCTGGGGTAAGATGAGATCCCATAATTGCATAACCTGGGAGAAAAGAAATTTTACAACCTTAAATGTTTAACAAACAAGCACATTTGAAGGGAAAACACCATTTATGCTTTAAAATGACTGCTCTATGTGTTTTATCTGTCAGGTATCCTTATGATACTCACAACCGCTTTTGGGAACCTATGACTCCACCAGGCTCGGAGGCAATAATTGCAACATTTGCCTCTCTTGATGTTACAACAGTTAATGACCCCCCAGTTTTGGCTATAATCAAGGCAGTTCAAGCTCCAAGTCCAACAGACAAACTTGAATTGTCTTTCAGATTTAGCAAAATGAATCGCCTTGACCATGTTGAACTATACTTCACTGAACCCCTGTACACGACTGCAACTAGATCATTCAATATAGACGTGAACAATGAGTTTGCATATGCAATCAGCCCAGTATATCAGGAGTGTAATGGTGTATGGATAAATGTCATGTCTGTTGGTACTTTGAATATTGAGCTAGTTGCAACCAACAATTCCACACAGCCTCCGGTAATAAGCGCAATAGAAGTATACACAGCTAGTGATCCTCTTGTCAGCGTATATACATCAACAGATGACTGTAAGTGGCATTTCCCCTCTTATTTTCCTCTCTCATATAACTTCATCACTTTTTAGCTAACTTGAGAGCTAAGTTTGTTAAACAGTGGATGGACTAGCAGTGTTTATAAACACCTTCAAACAGCTACAAGGATGGAGCGGGGAACCATGTCTTCCTAATGACACCGTCTGGCAATGGTTGACTTGCAGTGGTGATAACCCCCCGAGAGTAACCTCAATGTACATTTTTTTTAGCTATTTCGATCGTTCAACCTGCTAGCAACATTAAGAATTTTGAGGCTTATTCCCTTTTTGGCCACATAACTGGACGGTCCTGAGAGAGAATAATTCTGCCAGTATTTAAATCCCGTTAAATTTAAGCTCCAAACAAGGTGTCCAGTAGCATGAAAGATAACAGTGGTTGATCTAACCTGAAATTTTCACTTTGTTTAATTTGCAGATATCTTTCAGGATACGATCTTGATGGTCCACTTCCAGATTTTAGCCAAATGAATGCCCTGGAAACAATGTAAAACGTTTTTGCTATCAAACGCAACACCTCCTTTAACATATTATATATTCTTTACATTATACGCCTTATGTATTCCACTGTTCTGCTTCCTTGCATCAGAGATCTGCGGAACAATAAGCTTGATGGTCCGATTCCAGATTTTCTTGGAAAGCTGCCTAATCTAAGACTACTGTGAGTCAACATATAATGTATAATGCAAGTAACATGACAAGTTACTCCGTCATCTCGATTCAATATTTTTTCTTCTCTTTCTCAGTGATCTCCGTGATAACAATTTTGTTGGTGATGTTCCGTCAAGTATAACTGGTAACAAGCAAATAAAATACATGTAAGCAGGCAGGCTCATAATTTGACACTAATTCAATTTCAGCCATGGAAAATCCATGTAATCGTACCTTTTCTTCACATTTTTTTTCTTTACAGGGTAGGTGACAGCAAGGATAATCAGTCCAAGGGAAAAAGATTGGCTTTAATAATCGGGTTGGCTGTGGGATTACCTATATTCCTAGCATTTATAATTACCGTCGTTTACCTCTTAGTTCGAAAACAGAAAACATCCACCCAAGGACAAGTGACAGCAGTGGAGCTAGGCGTCAACCAAGGAGGAATGGCCACCGGACAGCCTCAGGATGGGATTGTTTCCAACACGATGAGCCCAGAAGCATTGACGCTATCAGCTGCCATTGAACATACCTCATGGATGTCAAATGGGGACAGTTTTGCAAGCTATGCTGGTATTTCACACATACATCAACTACCCCTGGCAAATGGGGACTCTGGAACAATGCCAACGGCGGAAGAAACATCAACGGGTGCTAATGCGGAAAGCATTTCTCATCATCCGCCTATCTTGCATATGATTGACGAGGAAGAGCTTAATGACCTGCTTAGACGACATGGTCAGAACTAATTTTGCCTATATGGTTATGCATCACAGGCACTTAATTCGACAGCTCAATCAAATCATGACGAATATCATTCAAGCCTGGTAATAGCCCACCGAGGTTTTATGTTTCAATATTTTGTAACATAAGGTTTTCTGTTTCAATCCTTGTAATATATCACTTGATCCCATGTTTTGAATGCAATGCATTGCAATCAATCTCTTTCAAACGAAAGCTCATTACAACTTGTCCGGCTTCTAGATCAACGTGCATTTTAGTTGGAGGCAAATCCAAAATGGAATCATTCCACAATGACAGAAGTCTTTGAAATTTGTTTATCAAATATTTGCACGACACACGAACTGTGCCTTGGCTGGAACCCAACCGTTGCTTCTTGCAAACGCTAGAGAACCAAAAAAATAAAAATCATTCACAATCATTCACACCCTATGATCCCCATTCCCTGCTACCATAGACTCAGAGCAGATGCAACTATAAACATATACACAAATCCCAGGCTCGAATGGCCGTCTATAATGCCATAGATTGGCGTTGGGATGGGAGGGCCCCTAGCAACGCTACCATTCATTAATTAGGCAACAGGTTAAGACAAGTTATGAAATCCCAGGCTTGAATGGCTGGCTAGAATGTGCCATAGATGGTGCTGCTGTCATGCCTCAGATTTGTTATTCATCATCTTAAAATTGCTATAGAGGAGAAAAGAGGCTACAATGGCTACTCATTGCCAAAAGATTAATTGAGATGCTGAAAATTGCAAAATATTCCCAAAAACAGTCATGCTGCAAACAGACGTTCTAATGAATGAGTTGCATGCTTAAGCTTTACATTGTAAATAAGAAAAATACTTGTTAATGTTGAGGTAAAGCTGGTCTCTTTTCCAACAACTCGTAATGGACAACAAAATTATCCTGCAGTTAAAATATACAGTCAGCACTCAGCAACTAGAGTCAAGTAAGAAGCAACATACATAATGCAGGAGGTACATGGTAGTTTAGTTCCAACCTTTCGGATTGTTTCAAATGAGTTCGGATCAAAACAGTGATAAGAACCTCTCTCATATGTGTTTGTCTTAACTAGTGGCTCCACATTGGGAACCCTTATGAACCACAATCGGTGTTCCTTGTGGTAAAACCAGCCTCTATTATAACTGCCAATAAGAGGTGTTAAATGACAGTTGGAAAAAAGAACACGCATAAAGATGTCAACACAACTCATTCAGTAGAAAGCATACAGTTCATTTGCAGCATATAACTGAGCTTCGTCTTTTGGCATGCTGCATTAGAAACAGAGAAGTACAGATGGCTAAGAATAAGATCTTAAAATATACAATAGAGAAAGCACCAGACATTAAATAAAAAAAAACCTGTAAAATATATAGAACAATGTGTCCACAGTGAACTTTGAAAAATAACCTTGCTGCATGCACCCAAAAAAAAATCAGAACTATAGAAGAAAATTCACTAATTCAGACAGTTGCATTAAGCAGGTTACTGAAGTATGAAAGTGAAAAATAGCTCACATGTAAAGTGGGTGGTTGCTTAGCATAATAACATTGTGGCACAGTGAACTCTGGGTCACCCTTAGCTGGTTCGTCAGACCAGGGAGAACCAAAAGTCTTGTGAAGATTTTCTGATGAATTCAAATTTAACCCAAGTGTTGTCAGATCAATTCCAAGAGCAAGGGAAGTGAGATCAGGATCACTCATCTTTATTACACTCTGCAAACCAAGTAAACCAAATGGATCTGGATTAGACTGTGCAGCCTGCATTGATTTCATGCCTGGTTCCCTAAATGACTGATTGACAGCTGATATCTGTTGCAGACGAAACTGGGACTGGTTTTGATGTTGCTGGTATTGCTGGATGAGCTGGTCATAACCCATACCAGAAACTGTATTTGAGGAATTTAGAGGTCTTAGCCCAATCCCAGGTGGTCCACTGGTCTGAACCAAAGATGAAAGAGGATGTTAGGGGCAATTCTATTTACCATTGACCATTAAGAAAAAACATTGATGCACAAATCAAATGCACATATAAAAGATGTCCATCATAAAGAAGTCAAACAAATTTCTTCAACTTTTAATGGATCCTTCTCTTAAGAAAAGGGACCAATTTCACATTCTTCCAATTTGACCAACAATTAATCTCAATGCAATCCACCTACTGAAACACTCATCAAATATGATGTTTAAAATCAGTTACGAATCTGCGCTCCCACATACTATTAGAGAAAGATGCAGACCGAAAGAACTATCAATTTCCCCTACCCCCTAATAACCCCTTAGTTACATTTGCAAGAAACCATTTATGGCACCAAACTACCACACCTGCGAGTGGTAGCTCAAATGTGAAGATGGGAAAATATCTGAGCCATGTAAATGGAGAAGTTCTTGATTGTTTACAGGTGAAAAGGAGACACCACTACTACTGGCTGATGGAGCATGTTGCTGTTGCTGCTGTGGGCGATGAGATGAATAGGATCCACCCAAGTTAAATCCTGCAGATCTTCCCATCTGTGAAAGTTGCACACAAGTTTCAGAGAAAATCTTACAATAGATACAGCATAAAGATCATAAAATATACTTCTTTTTTAGCCAATGAAGAAGAAAGGGAAATAAATAACTCATAATACGTATAGCATGCAATTATTCCAAAAAATGAAAAAGAAAATAAACCAGAATTTTCAATTTTGCAAAAGTAAAGACTCACAGAGAAGTGCTGAGATTGCATCATTGATAATGTATTGTCATGAAGTTGTTCTTTCTGATGCAAATCCATCGCATAATCAGCATTACCACCTATACAAAATCTAATAATATGGTCAAGAAAATAATGGTTTTAAAAACAATAATAGCATCATAAAAATGAAAAGTAAGATATTAGATGCACTGATAACACTGCTATAGAAACTCAGTAGACAGCTAATATGCTAGAATAACCGGAACATTAAGTACTGATATAACTTAAAGCTGGATTCAGAAATACAGAGAAAGTGAGAAACAAATACAGCATTTATTTGTCAACCAGAAAAGTAAAATGCATTAAAGCAGAACCAGGTCAAAGAATATCTGCACACCTTTAAATCCTGGTAATGCAGGGAAATCTTCATTTTGAATGCTGAACTCTTGGTTTTGTTGAACAATGGGACTAAGACCTTGTTTTCGTAATGAACCTGAAAATTTTTAACTTAAAATGTTATAAGTTCAGCAACAGGAAAAAGGACAAATGAATGAATCAGAAGGCCTCTTTCTTCACTTACCCAATTGTCCTTGAGGGCCTCCAGCAGAACTAGGACGACTTGTCAACTGAGGGAAATCATTATTTATGTCAAAAGGGGAATTGTCATTTGAGTTCACATCATTCAACATTCCCATGGAGCTAAGATTGTTCACAGCTTGAACATGGCTCTGCGAAAGTGGACCCCCAGCAGTAGGATAAGAATTGCCTAACATTGAAATTACCTGAGGAGATCCTGAATCCAGAAAGTCATTCACGTGAACAACTATGGCTAAACTAGTAAATCCACAAGACACATATTCTACAAAATAAAAGTAATAATCCAAACAATATAAAACTGAAAAATGTACTCAGGATCAGATAAGAATAAGAATCATATTAAATTCTAAGAATTAGAAGTTAGAAGTGACTAGTGAGCAGCTATGAAGAAAAATGCAAGAAAAGAAGCCAGAATACTCATAAAAAAAATTTTAAAAAAAAAAAAAGAGTGAGGGATAGTAAATTAACCAAAAATTCTGGCCATCGTACTGATTTGTGCCCAAGGGCAATTATAGCCAGCAGTATAAATGAATAGAGATCTTTTGTTCAAATAGAGATCTTTTATCCAAGCCAACAAAAAAAATATAGGGGTAATTGTTCACAGTAACATACCTTGAGGAAGCACACCACTCATCAACCGATTCTGTCCCTGCACACTTAAACTTCCAGATCCACTATTGGCACTTAAATTTAGACGAGATACAAGACCAGGTACTGATAATCCTCCACCAGCGCTTATGCTCCTCCCGATGTTGCCACCACCAACCATGTTTCCCATAGAACTTGTTATCCTAGGACCTGCATTTCCCAAAATTGGGGATACTCCCAATCCTGGAACAGCATTGCGGTTACCAATTGCAGCAGAGGTTGGGAGAATCCCAGGTATAGAACCACCAACTCCATTTGTGTTACTACTAAATCCAGGGTTTCCTACAACACTAATACCTCCTCTATTTGTTACTCCTGAATGTCCATGGGAGCTGCCATGAGATAACTGCAAAATGGTATCCAAAAGAAAATGAAGTACAGCTTACAAGAATGTAAGATTTCATTTTTGTGTTTGTCCTACTGACATGCAGGAAGGGGAGAGAAAACGTGTAGCATTTCTATTGCTGCAATCGTAAAGTGTCACATCACAGTTTGGGGGAAATATCAAGTACCTGAGAAAGAGCAACAGGGAGATTATTAGATGCAAATCTTCCACCAGAAAGGCTCCCAGTAGGTTGTTGAACCCCACCAGTTGGAACATTACTTAATGTTGAGTTTCTAGATGTGAGTGTACCAGGCATGCTGGGAACATTAAAGCTACCATGAATATTATGCAGGCCCTGAATAGTGCCTGCCAAAACAAACAACACAATTGCTTGAGTTCAGAAGAACATAGATGAATGGAAATCAAGTAAAATCTACCCACCAGTGTGATGGAAAACAGGGGAGGCCACACCAGACTGACCGGAGAAAGATGTCGCAAAAGAACGTCCACTACTGTCTTGAAGATTTGATGCTGAACCATTGATGGAAGACTGCAATCAAATGCATATTATAGTTTCCAGTTAATAGATACACATGTCATACAAAAATACAAACAACAAACAACCAGGAAAAGAATCCGGATAACAAAAAAGAACCACATTCAAATTTGATTTTAAGTTGCAATTAAAAAGATAATAGACCATAAAAGGAAGAAGATTTCTAAACATTCTATCATTTATGATCTAGAAAGAAATACTAACATTTCCAACCAATTGACTTTTAATGGAGCACCAATGACCTAAAATCAATATATTTGCACTCTAAGTTTAAAAATTGGCATGCCAGAACATATTGATATAAACAAGCACATACACATATAAACAAACATATAGAAGCAACAGAATCCAATATGTTGCATCTAGAAACCACAAAAACACATATTCAGTTATCTTCTGCTCAAAGAAGTAAGTTCACCTACAGAAGCCACATGCCTCATTTTTTTTTTTTTTGGTCCACTGGATAGGGGATAGGGGATGGGATGGTGGGGTTCGAACTCCAACCTTACATGTCTTCCTAAGCCTTCTTACAACTAGGTCAAGAAGCCCAAGACACCACATACTTCATTTAGACAAAGGAAAAAAAGTCCAAAAACAAGATTAATGTTCTACAAGATTGCAACTCCAAATAAACTGTTCGGTTACAGTAACAATACATTAAGTAACCCCGACATTGCAAAAGTGTCAATAGGTCACACAAAAAATCATTCCTCCTTGAGAAAGAACCCTTCAATGTCGTGAGTGTAAGTAGACAAAATCTTGTTTGAGAAGCTGCTACAGTGATTATAGCCTGAAAAGGACAATATAATTGTAAGAAACTAACCTTAGAATGGCAAAGAGGAGGCACCAAGTGCACATTCAGTCGATGCTGAACCACACCCCATGTTACCAGCAATACACACCCAAAATACTTCAGATATGTAGAACACAAAACCTAAACTTTTTCCGCTGTCTAGGCTATGAAATTGGCACCAAGAAAAGATGTCCAGCTAAGATTCTCAACATCACATTTGGCTATAAACCACCCACTTTTGCCATTTTCCACTTCCAAATAATGACAGTACGTTACATTCATAAGATTTTCACCATTTTTTTTATCAAATTAAATGATAACCAAAGCGTAAAAAAGATGAAGATAAACATTACAATATAACATGTCTTACAATTAGGTGAGTTTTTTTTTTTTTTTAAAAAAAAAGCTCTTTATGGCCTTGAAACCTTTTCTCTGTATTGAAATTAAGGCAATTTTGCCTGATAAGAAAAGACTGCAATCCCTAAACAAATCATCCAAATAACACCCATAAAACGAAACCTAAATTTACACCAGCGGAACTTATACGAACCGTTTCAAATTGAAAGAAAAGAGCACAAAGAAACAGAAATAATCAGTGTAATTGATTGCCGGTCATCTTAACATACTAATCCTCCGGTTTTAATTAAACAGAAACTGAAAAAACAAAATAAGAAAACCAGAAATCGAACATTTTTTTGTTGAACTAGAAATAATTTTTCTAAATAACATCAATATCCTCATTTCAAAGAACTAAATCCTCGAATATTTTTAAAAATAAATGAATAAAAAACCCTACACTACCATTCAGGTCATTTCAGTTTAGCTATTCGAAAGGACGGTCTCCACATTTTTGCACGGTTACTTCTCATTAGCCAAACAGCGGCTTCAAAACACAGTCTCCACTATCCGTTAAAATCCTTCTTAAAAATATTCCGGAAAAAATTAAAAATCGAAATTCACAAAAAAGTAATCAAATCTTCACTAACAAAACGAACAGAAAAAAAAAAAAAAAGATCGACAAAATTTTAAAGAGAGAGAGAGAGAGAGAGATGAACTCTGTGCGATAGGAGATCGAACTCAGACGAGTCAAGATCGACTGAGAAGAGAGTAAGAGTTACCTGTAAGGTAGATCAACGAGCTGAGTCAAAGGGCGAGTTTTTGCGTTTTTCGTTTGGGTCCAGCTTTTCTGTTTCTATTTTTTTTTTTTTTTTTATATTTTTGCCCTAAATCGAATGAGCAAAAAAATAAAAGGAGCGGCGAGCAGGGGAAAAGGAAAAATGGTGGCTTTTTTTATGACAAGACGGGTAATGTTTACCTGCGATCACGTTGTTCCGTGTATTACGGTTGTAGGCTTCTGACCTTCTGATCTGTGGAAATGAAAGTTTGAATGGAATGTGATTTAGGAGATTTCACGGATGGGGAAATTTTTATTGGGGCGAATTCAAGTTACAAATATGCTTTATGTTCCCCTAATAAATTTGAAATTATTTACAAACTCGAAAAATTAAGTTGCTTGAGAAATTTTTATTTTTTTAATAATTCACGAGGAAGAATAGATAAAAAAAAAAAGAAAAAATAAGTCACAATTTTTATTAATTATATATAATTAAACTTACTATGCTTAGCAAAAAAAAAAAAATTAAACTTACAATAATTATGGTATCTGATTATCATACCATTAAAATTTAGAATGACAAATCATTATGTATGTATTTACAATAATCAAAGTATATATATATTTTTTAAAATGATATTAGAACGAAAGACAAATGGAATGGATTTTTTTTAATGGACAAATGGAATATTTTTTCTAAATAAATTGAATGGCATAAAATGTAAAAATTTTGGATTTTTTTATAATTAATGTGATCAGGATTTGATCCCTATCATTAAAATTAAAATTTTAATATTTTATTAATAAATTATATGATTGTTGATTTTTTTTTTTTTTAAAGATTTTTTTAGTACAAAATAAGTCAAAAGTATTGAAGAATTAAGAAAGAAAACTTGTAATTATTTAGAATTGAAATTCAACCTTATAATAAATCATTTGAGCTAAACATATTCAAAAATGATGCTTTTCAATCATTGAGATTATTCAATAGGGATAAAGTTCATAGGGTTGACATTTTTATGTTCCCTTGTACTGAAATTTTCTACTTTCTCAATTCTCAAAAAATAAATGATGCATTAGAAATTTAGAAATTTCTTTTTATTTTATTTTATTATCAGATTATTGAAGTCCGTAATTAACATTGCACTTTTTTTTTATTTTTTGATAATTGCAATGTATTTGTTACAAACTTTTAAATGTTACCACACCAGAATAAATGTTAAATGAAAAGACTTAAAATAAGAAATACACAGTAATTTAACGATCTAAAATTGAATTTTTCTGATCTTTTTCAAATTTATTTCAACCAAATAATATGTGATTTCAAAGATGTAATATTTTAAGTTTAATCCAATTTTATTATTAATAAAATAATATATTAATATTTTATTATTTAGTTATTTTAAACTTAAATTAAAAATACGGATTTATAGAGTACGGAAATACTAAGATTTGGGCCACGCTAAGCGCACCTTGAGGTTAAAAACCAAAACCCAAGCCTAAAGGAGGCGGACAGGGCTAGTGGGCCTTGGCAGACAGCCCACCCAATCTAATTATAGACAAAGTCGATCCATATATATATTTTTTAATAATTAATTCATAATTGATTGCAGCACAAGACAATGGAACAAAGTCGATTCATAATTGACTGAGCTGTTTAAGATCACTCCAACATACAGCTTAGGCTGTTAAGATCATGACGGTCTAATGATTAACAGTATCATCAACACCCTTCACGACTATTTTGTTGATCGTTTTGGTCGACAGGCTCTTGATCTGATTGTTGCTGCTGCCCCTCCTGCTCCTGGATGTTCACTTTAAATTCTTTGACTAGATTTTGGGCTAAATTGTTGGCTGCCATCTGCATTTTCGCTGCCATTGGTGACGTGCCATTAGGCTTGTTGTCTCCCCCAGCTTGCCCTGAAAACCCATGAAAAGAAAAACATACCCATAAAGTCAAATGTTCAAGTCAGCGCATGATCAGATAGAGTATCTCATGGCTTGTTTAATATCTATACTTTCGTTTCTGGACCTGTTAACTACATTTTTCCACAAGAAACTTTAAAGATTAAAGGCAATTGGGTTTTTTTAATTTATTTTTATTTCCTTTTGAATATATTTCTGTCATGATTCAAGGAATTCCACTTGGTTGAATATCCAAATACTTCGACTGGTTCATACAAACCTGCATTACCGGCTGCAATGGCTGCTGTTTTTCTCTTATGATGACGCACGGCAAAAACTGCTCCAATTACCCAAAGAAGTACAAAACTTGGAATTGTGGTTCCAAGTATTGCTGGTACCTTGCTCTTTTTCTTGCCGCTGCTTGAGAAGAAAGCTGGGGAGTCACCAGCTGTTTTACATGACTTGCTAGAGACACACAAATCCGGATTGCCTGTCACACTGATTTTCATACGACGAAAAAAATGTTAATCATTGGAGAAATGAAGCAGTTTCTAATATGACTCACTCGATAAAAGAAAACGATTTGCTTACACTAATTTTAACTTGTTATTCTCTGATATTGAGGAAGGAATTGGTCCACTAAACCCATTATCGGCCAAGTTCCTGAAGGAGGAAGTTCAATTCAGTTGACTCTCAGGAAACTGAAAAAAAAGGAAATTCTAGTAAAAACAGTGTCAAGTAAACTCACAATTGTTTTAGATTAGGCAAGGTGCCAAGAAATTCTGGGATAGACCCGATTAAACTGTTATTGTGCAAATCTCTGCAATCAAAAGAAAATAAAATTTCAAACACCAGACTAAAGAATTGAGATCAAACAGTTTTTACTAATAAAGTTGGAGCTATACAACTCACATTATCTCGAGGGCTGTCATGGAGCTAAAATCAGGAAGAACACCAGATAGACCAAAGCTACCGAGATGCCTGAAAATGTTTTAAAAACCAAAGTGATTAGGCTTTCATGAAACTTAGAGTGCTATTTTTAACATTGTAGCTAGAAAATTAATAACTTACAATGCTGTTACTCGGGTTGTGGAAGCAGAGGTGCAATTGATCCAATCCCATGAATATGGTGAAGGAAGACAAGGGTCACCACCCCAGTCTCCAAGTACATTAAATTCATACAGTAGTGAGGCCAATCCTTGCACTAGAATACCATAAAGAAGAAGAAAAAAGTTTCAAAAAATTTCCAAAAATTCATTTCTGATTATGAAATAACAAGCAAATTATGCCTTTGGATACCAACCATCATCACTATTGGTTCCATCTGTTAGCTCATCACTGATGGTAAAAACTTCCAGGGCATTGATAAGAGGAGGCAGTGTTGAATCAGATGAGGCTACCAAAGAGAAGGTAGTGTTGGAAGAGGCAGTGATGTTAGTCAGGAAAATTTCTCCTGCTTCTCCATAGGATGGAATGAAGGGGTTCGAGCTAGGCTTGCCATCTATGTAGAGCTCAAAGGATCTTTTCTGGGTTGAATCAAGTATTGAAACTTCCGAAAAGTACATGTTCATGTAAATTGGAACTTCAGTTATGGGAAGATTAGTCCCTAATGTTATGGATATGGCAGTGCTGTTAGTGGCAAATGCATTTTGAAACACAGCTTGTGGAGGCCTATCGTCCAAACTAACTTCAATCAATAATGCAGCACTTGTAAGAACTGTGAAATCACCTCCATTGATAGCCGGAAGCCATATTCTGTCGTAACTATCATCGTTATACCTAACAAGTACACAAAAAAAAGTGGAATGAGATTTATCAGTGCCAGGGAAAAAATATCTCAGAGAGGGAGTCTGAAGCTAGAACCAATCAAAAACTTTAGCTAAAGCAACAATTACATCAGTTAAAGGCAAAACATACCTAACTATTTCTTTAGCGCCATAAGCAACCCTCCTCCTTAACATCAAAGCATGATTTGAATCAAAATGGCCGTACATTTTCATGTCTAAGGTCCGAACTTCAATAGCTGATATAAAGGGAAACATGTTAGGAGATGTCTGTGCTACACATACACTTATGGTATCCCCCTTCGTGACATAAATAGCTTCGTAGGAAACAACTACGTCACTTGAAGTCTCCACCGTAGTCCAATTGTTCCCATCAAATTGTAGATCAAAACTTGGAGGAGATGATTTGCCGTCATAATTTCCATAGAAAAAACTAGCTCGGACAAGAACTTGAGATCCCTTGAAAGCATCAATGGAGTAACAGTTTTTCTTCCTGTCAGTGAATACCCTTAGAGTGGCCATCGGTTTATAAACTGATTTGTTAGATTGCACCACTACGGCTTCACCATGTTTGATGAAGTCAGCATCTCCAACCCAACCGATGAAATGGTCATCACTGTAAATTTCAGATGCTCCACAGTCGATGCTTACTGAAATTCACATTGCAAAATGTTTTAACGTTAAATGATAAAACAACAAAAACAACCAAATACAAAGAACAATTATATGATCATGTAACTGATTCTAATTCCTCAAGATTAACAAAGTGAAACTTTAGTACAAATAAAAACCTAAGGCTTATAGAAATGAGCTCACCATCAGCATTATATGTTGAAAATGCAGAAGCTGCTATGATGAGAAATAAGAGATAGGTAGCCATAGCTATTTTGGGTAAGGATGCAAAGTTGTCATGCATAAATAAGGGCTTAGTGCCCATTAAATGGAGTGGTGAACTAGCTACTATTTAGTATACGTTGACTATGACTGAGTCATGAGGTTAATATTCTAGCAAAACAACCAAAAGTCATGAGATTATAATTAGACTTGTAACCCTATCAATATTGCTTGTGCCAGCCCATGGTTTTGGATTTGGTGGATCTCCTTCAATTTTATAAATATATCAATGAACCCTCACTATATTATCTCATACTAAATATAAAGATTACATAAATTTGCATGTCATTTGTGTTCAAATTATTTGTTCCATGTTAATTATTGTTTGAAAATTTTAATTTATTCTTAAATTTTTTATCCTATTACTTACTTAACTGAAAAAAAAAATTACATATATAAATTCTTTCAAATTTATAATCTTCAAAAATTAATTTTAATGATATACCAACTTATTTAAGAAGTAGTTGACTCATGTCAATTGTTGTTAAATTTTTTATAAATTAATAAAATTCTTACGCGTTTAAGGACTACGGAGAATAATGGAAATTTGTATCTTTATATGTGCAAAATCGTGTTTCTTTGATTGTTAAGGGTTGATTTGGAAGACTTTGGCAAGTCAAAGTCATGTCGGGTTGTAAAATCATATAGAGCGTTGATATTCTCTTCATTATTAGTAGGTATAGCATGGCAAAGGGTGCAAGTTGCAATGAATGTGCACGTTGCTTGTTGGGCAATTTCCAGCCTTGGGTCAAGGAAAGAAATAAAAAAAAAAGGGGAAATTTCTAGGGTAATGTACCAAAGAAGCCTCTCAACGAAGCGGCGAAAATGGGGGCAGAGTAATTTGTTGACGAGCAGGAAACTTTGAAATATTAAAGCTCTTTTCGGCGTATCAGACACTGACCCCTCCATTCGCCCCTAAAAATTGACCGTACATGTTATGAAAAGAAGAAAAATATTCTCAAATAAGAGATTTTATAATAATTAATTATACGATTTATTGATAAAATATTAAAATTTTAATTAAAATATATAAATTATTTAAAGTCTAATTTGACATTGCGATTCTTTAAGCTAGATTATTCAATAATATTAGAATCGACTCCATAATTAAAGGAAAAAAAAAACTCAAATTCAAACCCCAATCCTATACTAAAAAAAAGTTAATATCTTCTTCCATAGTGCTTCGTAGTACCTTTTTTTTTTTTTTTGTCAATTTAGTTAATTCACGGGCCTGAAAATCAATCTTTGAATTGGTCTTCTTCATTTTGGGAGTAGATATTGAGCCGTTGTTGGAGTCTCATAGGCCCATGATTAACAATGACATTAGGCGAATTTCTCCCATTTTATTCTAATTACTTGGGCCTCCATCGCTAACCATCGTTTATTAATTTGGGCCTCTTTCACCAACATTCCATATAGGCGCTTCGCATAGGCTTGCAATTTGAGGGAGTTTTTCTTTTTTTTTTAATAAATTTAATTACTCCAAAATCAAGTGAAAATGTAATCTTTGGAGGTTTTATATTCGATTTTTTCTTTTAAAAAAGACATTGTTTATATATATATATATATATATATTATTATCAAATGAGCAGATAATTTATTGATAAAATGTTAAATTTTTAATTTTATTAATTAAAAATCAAAATTTGATATTTTAAATACAAAAAAAATTGAAATGTAGCATAATTTCCCAAAAAAAAAAAAAACTATATACATAATTATCTTGATTTCTTTACTTTTGTTGTGTTAAATTTTGGTAATCAAACACGTGTCTATATGTTGGTAAATAAAATTAAGCGTCTATTAACATATATTTGTCTAAACCACACAAATAAGTTGACTCCGTTTGCTTGATTCCTTAGCTTAAGATCATATAGGTCATAACGGGACAAGAGGCAACTGGGTATTGGCCATTAGGCATTAGCATAAATTGGCCCATCTGTCAGCCTCTCAACAACTTTACGTGAATTGGTTTTATTGACTCTTTGCAAATCTTCCATACAATAAATGGTGTGCACGTATAGTGTTGGAAAGTTGACCATCTTTGTCTCCCTGTGTTTTCTTTAACTGTATGATATTTTTCAAAAAAGAAAGAAGCAGAATCCAAATTATACGATAGTGATTAGAGTAATTCTATTGGGTTTAAATCAAAATATTTAAATTGTTAGAATTTTAATTTTAATGATCAAATTTGACAATTTATCAAAAAAAATTTATATATATATATTGTCTACTCCAATTTAATTAGTATGCTTATAGATATGGATTACAGAATATATAAGTGGTAGACCCTGACAGCTGCAAAATATCAATTGTCCAAAATTTAAGACAAAAAAAAAAGCTAAATTAACATTTTCAGGATGAACCCTATTTTTTTTTTCTGGCAACAGCTAAGATGATATTGGAATTATTAATAGGATTATTATGGCGGGCATTCAATGGGTGGAAGTTATGAATGTAATAGTCATAAATGATCTCATTAGTAAAGAATATAATTTTTTTTATTACATTGACCAAAAAAATAAAAACGTATTGTGTTTAAATAAAATTAGAAGTGAATATAATATTTAACTTAAATTATTTATATTATTATTATTAAAAAATTATATTTAATATATTTAAAATTTAAATTGTAATACCTATAATTTTATTTTTTATTTTTAAAAAACAAACTAACTCGAAAGTCAATCTAAAATCTTTATCCATGTTCTATATCAGTTTTAGAGCTAGCTTGAGTTAAATACAAGTGGCTTATTCTACTCTTCTTTTGATATAATCTATTAAATGTTGAGATTATTATATTACTACTAGTATCAAGTACATTTTTTTAGTGTCATGTTGAATGGTTTTTACAATATAAAATCTCCATGGTAATTTTGTTTATTGACCCCTCACGATTTCTTTCTCCCCCAAGTTTTCCAATGCGTTCCAAGCACGGCTTGTTACGAGATATTTTGATCAAAGGCCTCAAAAAACTAGACTATTCGTATCTTTTTTATTAATTTAATTAAACTGACAGCTGGTTATTTTTTTAAAAAGCCTATGCTTTTTCTTGGCTAGATATAAAGAGAAATCAAATTTATATGGTGTAAAAACTTTTTATTTTGTATTTCTTTTTAATTATTGGTTTTAATAAATTAAAAAATGAGATTAATCTTACGTCAAGACTTATGGTTCAAGAATCAAGAGACAATCATAAAATTTAAATTTTAAATTTATTAAATATCATTTTTAAAAATAATTATATTAATTAATTGAATTAAATTTTAAGGTTATTAAACAATTAATGTTGATATAAATTTTTTATGCCATATTTAGCCTTTAGTTTTTATGTTGATCGATCCTTTAAAAGTCTGCATATAGATCTAATATCCTAAACATGATACAATAATATAACACGATTAAAAAATAAAAAATAAAAATCATATGATTTAAAATTATAATAATAATTATATATAAATTTAGTAAAATAAAAAAATTTATATTTATGAATTACAATATATAATTTTATATAAAATATAATATAAATATATAAATTTTAATATTTTATACTATATAAATATACAAATCATTAAATATAATTACATATAAAACAAAAAGTGTCGTCACCCGCTCTCGTTTTATATTTGTTAAATTATTGTGGACTTATTGAAAGTTAGGTCTCCAATTGTGATAGATGCATTTTCATTCATTTTTATTAGGGTTGTAAATGATACATTAGTATTCGTAAATTATTCGGGTTCAATTTGAAGAAAACTCGAATTCGGTTCGATTATTATCGAGTCGAGCTTGAGCTCGAGTAATTTGACTTATCGATCGAACCGAATTCGAGTATTCTTATATCCAGCTCGAGTAACTCGCGAGCCTAATTTAGCTTTTATATTTAAATATATTTTTATTATTTTAATTAATAAAATATTTTGAGTCCAAATTCGAGTATAAATAATCAAACTCTTGTCGAGTACACGAATCAAGTTTATTTTTATATATTAATCGAACGAGTTCGAGTAGCTTAAATTCGATCCTGAATCGAACTCGAGTAGCTCGAATTCGATCATAAATCGAATTCGAACTTAAAAAATAAAATTCGATCGAATTCGAATCGAGTATCGAATCCAAAATTATGAGTCGAACTCAAACATTTCACTGTATCAGTTCGACTACACCCCTAATCTCTACCGATTGCCAATGTTCTTCTCTTTATAACACAATAACAACCCTCCACGTACTGCTCTTTCCTTTGTTATATATATATATATATATATTTCATATTTAAATTCTTGTGGACTCATTCTCTTTCCTTTGTTTTCCATATCTTAATTTGCCTTTATTTTTTGTTTCTCTTTCCTTAATTTATCAGTTGAAAGCGAAAATTTGCCTACAAATTAATTAATTGAATTATGATAGATTGAGCTAATAATTAAGAAAACTAGGTTACATGGTCCCAATATACCTCTCAACCTTTTCTTATAGCTTAAAACTCATTTTAGAGATCTCATGTTTGATTGATTTTGTTTATATTATATATATAATTACTTTATGAATGAGAAATATACAGGTTTAAATCTATTTATATTTTTTTTATATGTAAAACTTACTAATTATGAGGTAAGTGTAAAAATAAATGAAAGTGCATATAATTAATTATTAATTAGTTAATACTAATGAATAATATGGGCACTATACTTTTTTTTTTTTGAAAATTTTAATATAATCTTAATATTCTGATCTTTTTTTTCTTAATTCACTTATGAAGAATATTGTGTATATAAATTTGAAAATTTTTATTATCTTTAAAAATGTGATCAATATACATATCATCTGAACTAATATTCAATTAATCTATACTTAATAATGTATAACGTCGGTAGTTGATTTATGTCATTGACTTTGATAATCGAAATTTAATTTATAATTATTAAAATTAAAAATTTAATAGTTAAACAATAGAGTAATAGTTAAAGTGCTAAGACTCTGGAAAAATTTACAAGAGATAAATCCGAGGAAGGGTATAAGCTAAAATCACGGCGAAATAATTGAAAAACAAAGAAGAAGAAAAAAAAAAAGAAACTGCAAAAGAAAGCGTAGTTTGATGTAAGATTTTATAAGATGAAGAGGCAGTTTCACATGGGTACTTTAATCGATCATAAGAGACAAAAATGGAGTCAATGGAAACAACACCCTTTATAAACAAATATGATGAAACCGCTCGTTAAGCTTGAATGACAGCAAATACTTGTTAAGCTTAATCAATCCAAAATTTATTATACTAGGAATAATTAAATTTAAACCTTAATAAACAATTATGAAAATATATATTGTTATTTTAATGATCAACGCTTGAAATCAATTCATCCATTGATATATACTCTCAAAATTCATTTTTATTTGTCCAAATTATTAATGAGTAAGGAATTAATCAGTATTTATGATTAATACAACTCCCATCACATTCCAATGATTTGAACCAACCCCATATGGCAAATATTTTATTGTAAATTTGTTCAATTTCTCACATATTTACAATCAAACATTAGAAATTAATGCATGATTGACTGAGAGATTTCTAATGGCATTGTGTTTGATAATTTTTTTTTTCCAAATAAAAATGTCACAGCCACAAGAATTCTCACATTTTGACAATCAAAGGAGTTAGAAAGTGCCCTGAGATAGTGACAGATAAGAAAAAAATGGCAAATTATGGAGCAGCACATGGTGAAGTGTGAACCTTCAGAGGCCACCACTCAATAAAAATGACAAGTTTGCATTTCCTTTTCTGACATGAAATGGGAACAGATAGCTCAATGTTTAGGACAATTTTCCGATGCAAGTACATAAATCAAGTTTAACCCACATTGGTACTTATTTTTAGTACATATATAGAGATTTACTAGATCTTAAATTGCATAATTACAAGTATTTTTTTATGTTTCTTATAAACTTTTCATCCCCACCTTCAAATTTTAAATTTTTAAGTTGAAGTTTTAATTTTAACTTAAATCTATAATAAAGTTTGAGAAAATCTTGAGTTAGAATAAAGAGTTTTAATAAAGAATTCAATCAATTTGAAATTTAAATATAGTAATTATAATTTTTTTATTTTGAAAATAAAGATACGATCTTTTTGTAAAAAAAAAAAAAAAGAAATTGATTTCATTTTATAAGTATAAAAATAAAATAATAATTAGTTGGGAGTAGTTGGCACTTGCCACTTTAGTTTTTTTTCTTTGTTTTAAAATTTGTTTGTTGTTTATTATTTTTCCTAACCAAAAGAAGAGCAAAAGAGAAAAATTTTCCATTTCATCTACCATCTTTCAACCATCACTTCCAGAAAATGTCAAAGTAAGACATAAATTTCATTTCATTTCACACCTTTTTTTTAATTTGACATCAACCCTTGAAGAGGAAGCTTTACCGTTCCCAAGTCACCTTTTCACTGTCTCAGAAACCACACTAGCAGTATGGAGAATAAATAACCTTTCTGTTACTTAAAAAGTTTATAACTCTCTTCGACCTATCACCATTAAAACCCATAACAGAAAACCTCTCTCCATAAATTTCCAAACTTTAAATTAGCCCTTATCTCATCTATATGTTACTGTTTGCTTTCAATATTTGTTTTATTATTTTCACTTTCTTACAACCAAAAAATAACTTCTACCCTACATTGATTCACCAATCCTGAAATTAGACATCTAAAAAAGTTGGCTTTTTTTTTTTATTTGTTCATTTCTGTTATACCACCTTTTGACTCTTTGTTTCGAGTTTTATTTATTCATTTTGGTTCCCTATTTATTTAAGAACATGAGCAATCTGTATTGAAAATCGCAATTGATGCTCTGTCAAATTCCCATAGAGGTGCATAAAAGATTTGATTTTTCACTCGGGGGCTCCTCTCATCTGGGTTTCTCTCTCTCTTGGAGTTCAAAGGTTCAATCTTTTCGTTTCTTTTATTCAGTTCCGTTGGTGGTTTTTTTTTCTCTTTCTTTGAGCTCCTTTTGTTTTTATCCTGTATGAGAACCTATGTTGGAGCTCACATGATTTATCTTGGTGTCAGCTTTTGTCTTCCTTGTTCAGTTCTCTTAATTGATTTTTGATTTCTGTTATAGTTTGCTATTTCTGTAGTTGCTTTTGTAAGAACCCAGAATTTAAGCTCCTGTTAAGCACAACAAGATTTAGCCTTTCTTGTTCTGTTACTTTGTCGGATTTTGAAAAGATGGGTAGCAAAGTATTTGAATTGCTCTTCTGGGTTTCTTCACTCTTGTGTTGGGCATGCTTTGCTGGAGGATTTACACCGGCAGACAATTACCTTATTGATTGTGGATCACCTACTAATACTACAGTGGGTGATCGAGTGTTTATGGCTGATAACTTAGCCTCAAAATTCCTTTCTGTACAAGAAAATATTCTTGGAAACACTTCAAATGCTGTTACCTCCTCTGATGATTCGCGCCTCTATCAAACGGCAAGAATATTTACTGGTGTCTCTAGGTACACATTTTCTATCAGCCAACGAGGAAGACACTGGATTCGCCTTTATTTCTATCCATTTGTTTATGCTAGTTATAATATGAGTGTGGCAAAGTTCGCTGTTTCCACAGAAAACCATGTCCTTCTCAGCAGTTTCAGTGTGCAAGCTCCTTTTGTCAAAGAATTTTCTGTTAATGTAACCTCCAATAGCCTTGTCATCATATTCAGTCCTTCAGAGAATTCAATTGCTTTTATAAATGCCCTAGAAGTTGTTTCAGTCCCTGATCAGCTCATTCCAGACACTGCCAGTTCTGTTGAATCATCATCAGGATTCCAAGGCCTGATGTGGCAGGCACTGGAGACGGTTGCTAGGGTGAATATGGGGGGACCTACGGTCTCGTTTGAGAATGATACTCTTTGGCGAACATGGGTCCCTGATCAGCGTTTTCTTGTAGAAAAAAATCTTGCCTTAAATGTATCAAATACTATGGCTGTCAAGTATGTGGATGGAGGGTCAACACCAGATATTGCTCCAAATTCTGTCTATGGTACCTGCACCAGGATGAACTCCTTGAATGACCCCAACAGCAACTTCAATGTGACCTGGGAATTCGATGTGGATCCTGGATTTCGGTACCTTCTTAGGTTTCACTTTTGTGATATTGTCAGCAATGCTCTTAACCAGCTATACTTCAATGTTTTTATTGACTCCTGGATGGTTGTTCGAGACCTTGATCTCAGTATTTTGGTTAACATTTTGGGCGGTGCATACTATATGGATTATGTTACGGAGTCAGCTACTAGAAATAAGCTTCGAGTAAGCGTTGGCCCATCTAATTTACATAATACTTACCCAGATGCCATACTAAATGGGCTGGAAATCATGAAAATGAACAACTCTGATGGCAGCCTTACTGGCTTGGGAACTGTCAATACTTCTGGTTCAAGATCAAAGAAGAAAATCGGTGCTATAGTGGGTGTGAGCATTGGGGTAGCTTGTGGAGTGCTGTTGGCAGGGGTTCTCTTTATGTTTTGTAGAAAAAGAAGACGATTGTCACGCCAGAGGCAATCAAAGACATGGATTCCTTTTTCAATTAATGGAGGAACTTCTCACACTATGGGAAGCAAATACTCCAAAGGAACAACTACCAGTCTCAATTCTAATACCAGCTATCACATTCCTTTTCTGGCTGTTCAAGAAGCCACAAACAACTTTGATGAAAGTTGGGTTATTGGGATAGGAGGTTTTGGTAAGGTGTACAAGGGAGAACTGAATGATGGTACAAAAGTTGCTGTTAAAAGAGGAAATCCACGGTCCCAACAAGGACTTGCTGAGTTCCAGACTGAAATTGAGATGCTATCCCAGTTCCGCCACCGTCATTTGGTTTCTTTGATTGGCTATTGTGATGAAAAGAATGAGATGATCTTGATTTATGAATATATGGAGAATGGAACACTCAAGAGTCATCTCTACGGCTCTGATCATCCAAGTTTAAGTTGGAAACAGAGGCTTGAAATATGCATTGGAGCAGCTAGAGGACTCCACTACCTTCACACAGGCTATGCAAAAGCAGTTATTCATCGTGATGTTAAGTCTGCAAATATCTTACTTGATGAGAATCTCATGGCCAAAGTTGCCGATTTTGGGCTGTCAAAGACAGGTCCTGAAATTGATCAGACCCATGTCAGTACGGCAGTGAAAGGAAGTTTTGGATACCTGGATCCAGAATATTTCAGAAGGCAACAACTGACTGAAAAATCTGATGTATATTCATTTGGAGTGGTTTTGTTTGAAGTTCTTTGTGCAAGACCAGTAATAGATCCAACTCTTCCAAGGGAAATGGTAAATCTAGCTGAATGGGCAATGAAATGGCAGAAGAGAGGACAGTTGGAGCAAATAATTGATCGTAATCTCATAGGAAATATCTGGCCTGAATCTCTTAGGAAGTTTGGAGAAACTGCTGAGAAGTGCTTAGCTGATTTTGGTGTCGACAGGCCTTCCATGGGAGATGTCTTATGGAATCTAGAGTATGCTCTTCAACTTCAGGAGGCTGTTGTTCAAGGCGATCCTGAAGAAAACAGTACAAACATGATTGGCGAGCTTTCTCCACAAATCAACAATTTCAGTCAGCTTGATCTCTCTGTTTCTTCTGCACAGGTTCAGGTGGCAAGTGTGGATGACCTCTCAGGTGTTTCAATGAGTAAAGTGTTCTCTCAGCTGGTGAAGTCTGAAGGCAGGTGACTTGTATGAGGTGGAAAATCCTATAGGTTAAGCTTCTACTTTGACAATGCTTACATGGTTTTCTCTGATCCACCACAGCTTGCCGCATCGACTAGACAAGATAGTTTTCTTTATTTTGTTTAAAAAGGTGGAGTGGTTCAAATTCCTTTGTTTTTCATCGGTGGTATGTCAATTCTTCATCCCATAGCATGATGTGTTTTCTTTGGTTTGTCATCAAACAAACTAGAGAGAAGCTGTTCCCAAACTACAGATGCAACTGCTTAAAATCATTTGTGTTCTAAAATACTACTGCATAAGGCGTTGTGAGCTCTTTTATGTACAGCAGGGATGTGGGTTTCTAGTGAGTTTTAAGGAATTGACCGGGATATTGCTATTTAAAATTTTTCATAGCTTGTTTGTTTCTGATTTGCAATGCCTATAATTTAATTTGCTATAAAGTGCATTTCAACTTTTGCAAGTGATCAGTGTGTGATTATTTTCAAATTGATATCTTTCTTGATTTTATCCCATTTTCCACACTGTTGGTGTAATTTTATTTGCTGCATCAACATGAAAGATAAATCTGTTCTATCAGTTTGTTGCGTAAGCTGACCTGCTAAGTGGCCAATGCATATTTTTGCTTAAGGGCTAAGGCCTCCTGTTTTCTGTTTAAGATCGGGAAAATCCACCTGGGAGTTCTTAAAAAGGGACACCTGCTTATGAATTTTTTAAGCCGCCTTTCACCATGGAAAACTTCACACTTCAGGCAAGTTACTGTAATTAGTTACCCGAATGACTTGCACCCAAAATATAAGCCACAACTTGTAACAGAAGGAAGAGGATTGAGCCAATGGCTTTTGTTTCATTGAAGAACATAGATGATGCAAATCAATGGGTGAATCATGGAGTCCATGTTTCATTTTTTTTTTTATGAATCTACGTTGCCCTTGAATTTCATCTAACTTGATTAATTCCATTTCCAGTTGTTTATGAATCTGCTTTTAATTTCCCTACTTCATCAAAGCAGTTCTGCCTTTGTATTTTGTACAGCATTTGCAGTTGTCTGATGAATGGTTGAACAACCCTGCATCAAATCTACTTAGCATATGGGTATCACTCTCTCCAGATATTCAAACCAACTATATTTATATCCTGCATGATTCACAACTAATTAAGTTATGATAAAATTTGGAAGCTCAAATATTAGCATTAGATAGGATTAAGAAATAAGAACCAAGCAAAGGCAACCCTTTTTTCTTGTTTCATTTTTTTACATTTTCAAACTTCAAAACAAGTTGTATTTTTTCCTCTGAAATCCATTCTTCTACTCAATAATATCTGATTTGTGTATTGCAGTATGGTAATTACTGAGCTTCCTAGTGTTGGTTCATGGGAGAATGCCAAAAACTATAGTTGAGTTGTCAAATAAATGCTCTTTACATTACCTTGCTTTCAAATTTTGTGGATAAATTTCATAGAGTGTTGTAAGGTACTCGATTACTCAGACCTACAGGTGCAAATAAGATGAGATTTGTCATATTGAAAGAATGAAAATTTTAATCATCAAAAGCACTCGAAAACATTATTAGAACCGAATGAAAAGGAAAACAAGGTATGGGCCAGTTGGTATATATTTGCTACAATCATCTCTTGAGAATAATTAATTCCACTAAACATTTTTTAATCCATTACCCATCAGAGAATAGGCTTTAGCAGCAACAAATGATGGGAGAGCATGAATTCACATGCACTTAATTTCCCTCAAGTATGATGAAATCCTGCATGAAACAATGGCACATGATTCAGCTGGCAGGGTTTCCCTAGTTTCATAGCTTCTAAAGTATGCATCAGTTATCACCCATTTATTTTGGGATATAGTTTTGTTTCATTTCTAACCCCATTTCCGCTTTCAGAACATACAAGGTAATCAACCACCTGATCAGATGTAGATGACAGATTCACCAAAGGATTAATGCAACATATATTTTCTTTTGGGGTTTGATGACTTACTAATTATTTTGGTATTAAAATGAAAAGAAGAATGCAATTTTTCGACCATTTTCTTCGGGTCAGGTGGCATCATTCTGAGGTCTATGCCCATTGAAAGTAATGAATTTGCATTTCAAAGGCCTCAAGAATAATGTTTATCTTCTTATTCTCCACTAACAAAATTAAGGAAAAGGAAATACCAATGCTATAATTCTGTTCAGGACCTGACTCTCTGGTCTGCAAATGACTTGGCATGTGGGTAATATCGAGTACTGACACTCTTCATTTCCCTATTGTTCAAGAAAAACATGGTGTTATTAGTATTAAACAAAGATATTACTGATATTGCACAGTTTCTATTCTTTTACCAGCTCATTGGAAAATTCTGGATAATGGTTATCTCTGTTTAAATTTGATTTATTCACGGATTGTTTGTTTTTCCTAACCTTATATCCCAAATCCCTATCAATTAGGTTTACATACTGTCCATGTATTCTCATTTCTAATATTGATAGATATTACATATATGACCAAGTAGTTTTATAATTTTATGGTATTTTCTTATTTTAAAAAGTTTAAAGGTCTTGGATTTTATCAGTTTTGACATGTAAGGTAGGGAAAGAAAATAAATCACCCAAAAAAAAGAAAGAAAATAGGGACAAGAAATATACTGTATATATGTAGCTGTCAGTTTGTTTTTTTTTAACAGCTTTAGAATGACAAGGAAGAATGCAACTAAACCAGAGCTGACCAGCAATCATTTTCTTCCATTTTCTTCTCTCAGCAAACATTACCTACTATCCCATAATCATAACAAGAAATTGCAATTATTTCAGTTTTCATCATAGTATTTACTGTCTTTTTTTTCTGTTGCATGTCCCACAATACTAAGAGAAAAAAGAAAGGCTAAGCAATTGGCAATCCACTAATTACTTATCTACTTCAGTCTACAGCTCTTCGCACTAAATTTCAGTTGGCATGTAACTCGAGCAACTTCACAGATTAACAAGAAATCCCCAAATTGGTTAACCAATTATAATAACAATCCCAGTGATGATTTAGTATCCTAAATCATTAATTGTGTGCCCTAAGCACTGATTATTTCCTGGTATCATGTTCCTGATTAAGTACAAAATGTAGACGGATTAAGAAAATATACTATTCCATAGTCGATTAACCCAAGAAAACTTGCTTTGCAAGTTACGTACTCTCTTTGGTCTCTTTTATACTAAAAAATAGTTTTCATGATTGTTTATAGTATGATTGATCCTCAAACCTCTTTTTGCTTCTTTTCTTTTGGATTACTTCTTCTACTCATAATATACACCCCAACTGGTGGTGGCCCTTTGTTCCCATCCCTTTCAAGTAATGAAATAGTCAAAGAAATATAGAAAATAATGAGTTCCCCTTTAGCCCCAATTTTCACCCACCTCCACCACCACTGCCACCATGCCACCATCTTTTATTTCACAAATTTGCTCTACTCTTTCAGAATTAGTAACTAATATTTTCTATGACTTTAGACTTTTGGTGTTCAATAATTAATCCAACATCAAAAGTTCATGTCCAACCAGGCTTATCTTATTTTGTTGTTACATACATGAATGACTTGAACCTTGAACCTTAATTCTCAATTGACTCATCCAAGCAGAGGGTTGTTGAGTTGACCATAGTCCAGAATCAGTGATTCTGCAATATCTTTATGTAACTGTGATTAAGAAACATTCCCTAAAAACTTGTACTGGAAATCAGTAGAGGTTAGGATATATCAGCAAGTGTGACTACAGCTCTAATGTGATGAAAACTTATCGAGACTACAAAGGGGGAAACAAGTTATGGACTATCATTTTTGCATTTGGCCAAAAAACAGAATCACTAAGCACAAAAGTGGCGAGACAAACAAGAAATTAAATTAGCTGTATGTTTCTGCCTGCTGTGCTTAGATTGGCAAATGTGATCAGAGACGGACAGACAGACAGACAGACTTGAAATTTTCAATAGCTAAGAGTTTTACAAGGTGCAAATGGAGAAATTTTACATATGATGATTTCTTTTCAACCTAATATATTAGCATAAAGCCATTGATAATGCTCACTGGACTTTAACCATTAATATATCATGATATCATCATCCCATATCCATTAGCAAAGGAAAATAACATAGAGGAAAGGAAAAGGCATCAAATAAATAAAAAAACTTAATGCTATTAGAAAGTTATTAAAAAAAAAAAAGGAAGCCCTGAAGGATGAAACTGATGAAAAGATGTTCAATCTCTATGATCAGCCACGTCAACCTTGGTGGTGCAGGACAACAGCCTGCGAAACATGGCCAACAGGGCGGCACAAGAGACATCTTTGGCCCTTCTCAGCGCTGCACTCTTCTTCTTGGCAACGGTTTTGGACCTCTTTTTTCTTCTAGGAGGACTCTTCACCTTTTCCTTCTTAGCTCTGCCAAAACATTTTGTTTTTTCAGGCTCAATTTGATCATTCCTATGAAACGTGTAGCTCCTCAGGTACATTTGCCTGCATGAAATGCTATCAACAACCGTGGGATGTGCACGGCCGCCCCTGCTGGGACCGTCAGACCTCAGTGACCTGACAAACTCAGCATCTGATTCCGGCCACTTATAAAGGTTCACGTAGGTTGGCCTGACTGGGACCCTAGTGTCATTGATGCAGGTTGAAATACAGGTTGAGGCCATTGGATGTAGGAATCAGGCTTCCACTTTCAAGTGATAAATATGGATAGCTTCCTGCCTTCCAGTTTATAGAAAGAATGAAAGAAAATTAAGAGAGATTGAGAGAGAAATACAGGGTAGAAGCTTTCCTATAAGGGGCTTTGTTTATACAGTGGTTCTTTTATGCCAAATATGCAATGATGTGGCATCATTTGGTGAGTGTAGGCATTAAGAAAACGATTTGTCATTTTGGGTCCATGTATTTATCATTTTCCATTCCTACATTCAGCCAGGTTCCATGTTGATAAACCAAGTAATTTTCTTACTAACCTAGTGTCATTTGATTGTTCTATGTTGGTAAACAAGTACTAAATACGACAGCATCTTACACATTTGATGATTGTTCTCCATTATTTTGAAATTTTGAAGACGTTTTGGGCCAATTAAATTAGAATTATGAGTCATTGTCATTTCAGGTTTGTTTTTTTTATAATGATTGTAATAATAATGGCGAATAATAGTAAAAGGAAAGAGTATCTTGCGCCAAACGAGTAGGGATAGGCTGTTTCAGAGTCAAAGATAGCGATGAATTAATAGTGGATTCCATTTAGACAGTGTGACCGTTAATGGTTGAAACAATATCTATATTATGCCTTGAAGGCTGCCCTTGACTCTTGAGAGCAGGCAGCTGCAATTCACTGCAAGAAAGAAATGTAGAGAAAGATAGCATCGAGGGCTGTGCCTTGAGGCCAAAGTTATTATCCTTCAAATTTTAGGCACCTCAGGCTAAGATGCTTCAGCCTGCAGCCGCCAGCCATGAATTAAAAGTGGAGATTCTGTCATGTTGGAGCTTAGGATTAATGTAACTTTGAGCATAAAAAAACCTTAGGAATCTATGTTCTATGTCTAAGTCATCCTAGCTCAAATCAAAATAATATAGTACAACAATTAACAATGCAAACCCAAAACAGAAACCTATAGCAGAAACCTCAAAAAAAAAAAAAAAAAAGAGGAGAACAAAGTTGTTTTCCTCTTTGCAGATTAAGATTAGGAGAAGGGGATCAAAGCCAAATGTGCTCTCATAAAATAATTAAAAGAAAAAATCCAAAAAGGATTAAAGCCAATGGTGGGCTTTTCTTTATGTTCCAAAAAGGTGTGAAGTTGAGAGCCCAAATTTGTTCTGGGCAAAAATTAAGCTTTGTCCACTCTATTTTGCCGAAAGCATTGTTCAAGGTATCCCTATTGATAAAACAAATCCAGGGCTAGAAATTACAGATATGGGATGGGTTCATAGGGGGACAAGGAAACGTGCATTCAACCGGGCTTTTTGTGGTTCATCTGAAACATAGGCTCTTGAACAAGATATCTAGAAAGAAGAAGATAAAATCCACGACTGGGAGAGGCCCGTAGATAGTAGGCTTGGCCTTGTCTTCATTTGTGAACTGATCTGATCACCTTGTCTGGTGACAAGTTTTCCACCAGTCCGATAACATGACAATTGCCAACCCATTTGCTTTTCAGTTTTGTCCCATTTTCACCCCCAGGGAAATAGGATTCGCGTTGCTCTATAACAATACAATTTCATGAACTGGTTCATCCATTCCAGGCGTGAAAGTGAAAGGCAAATAGGCAATATCCCATTCATACCAATTTCATGTCAACCAAGGAAAACCAGGGAAATGGGCTTTGCAGCTATCCTTCCAGGCAGGTTCATATAGAATTTAATGTAGTTGACTGCTCAGTGCGTTGGAGAAAATATGTAGCCCTTTCAGATTTTCAATCCGCAATTTCTTTGTTTCTTTAAGACAGAAAGAGAGAAGAAGCAGCACGTAAAGTTATAGTTAAAAAATTCATTAATGATAAGTTTAGAAAATAACTTGAGCCTTATCTGAATTTGCTATTTCCGCTTAGATTAGGACCCCATAACATAATTATCACTTGACTTTGGGAACCTAAGTGCAGCTTCACCTATGCCATTTGTTAATTCCATTGACTGCAACTCGAGTGAATTCAATATTTCTAGCATGTGTCAATGTAGCAGAAATTTCTGATTGATTGCTGTCCAATACAGAAGGAAGATAAGCTTAGTTAATTTGATTGAATGATCCCCCATCTCCATTAGTTTACATCTTGGATAAAGATGGGTCACCTGCTCCACCATAATTCGATATAGTGTTAATACCAGCATGCATGCAAAACAAGGTTCTGTATAGATCTCTGATAGTGTCTATGGTGAAATAAGGTTGAGTGTGTAAATTCTTTGACTATTCTACAATAAAAATTCATTTGATTGGCCCCAAAAAAAGTAGCAGAAATTTCCCACGAAACTACTGAGGCGATTTAGCTGAATTGATTTAGAATATATATATATGAGGATCTCAAGAAATACCTTTGGATATGGTGAAGTAAAACCAGGATGAAATCTTCCGCATTATAAACATTTTCTTTTTTTTTTTTATTATACGAAGATTGAAAGTCCTGATATGAGTAAGAAAAATGATGAAAATTTGATTCGAAATCAAATTTTTGATGTCTCGTCAAACATTTTTAATCATTAAACAAAAAATTTAGAGATCACGATTATAAACATTTTCACAACTTACAATTGCAAAAAACAATCATCAGACAACATAATGAATAGGAACTCAACTTAATTCATTTAATTTATGTTTAAATCTTAATATCTTAAATTACTTTTTTTATTTCATGTTTTGATATAATATACAGTAGAACATAATTTCAATGTAGATTGCACACTCATTTAAACCCATGATACCATAAAAATATATATAATTGATAAATTTTAAAATTTTAATAAAAATTATATATAAATTTAGTAAAAAATAAAAAATATATTTTTTATTTGACGTATTAATAAAATTTATAATATGATAATTTTAATAATTTATATATATTTAATATAAAATAAATAAATATAAATACATGAATTGTCAAATATAATTTAAAGCAAACTTATATCTAAAAAACATTATGTTCATTTTCACTTTTAATCAAATTCATAATAGTTTCCAAGTATTGAAATTGGAATGTAGAAAAAGAAAACTCTTAAATTTTGTAAATATTCCATTGCTAGAAGAAACTTACTCAATGATGACATATTTATTCCACAAGCAAACACAAAAAATAAAATAAAATAAAATAAAATCTAAGAATAACAGAATATGCCCCAAAGAGAAACTGGAAAAGAAGAAGAAATTTCTTAAGCATTAGCTAAATACTACTTTAAAATTAGAAAAAAAAAAAGTTTTGACCTTTACGACAGTGGAGATTCAATGTGGGAGACCACAATCATTGAGCACAAACGTCACCACTGATTGGTTGACACATGGGAAAAAGCCCTTGCAAAGATATCACTTTATGCTCACCATTGTCGCTTTTACACGTGGCGATACCTATTAATTAAGGCAATGTGGAATAAAAGACAAAAGAAGACACATAAAAATGAGACTGTAGAGGGAGAAAAAAAAGAGAGGATTTTTAGCCATTGAATCGTTCTTTAATCAGATCTCTCTCTCTCTCTCTCTCTCTCTAAAAAAAAAACATTATTTTTACGAAGTATAAGAATAAGTGAAAGAGAAGGAATTGATAGCTGAATGGAAAGATAGAAACTCCAAAATTCTGGTAAGCACAGCCCCTAATTTTCATTGCCTTCTGATTAATTTATTTTTATTCTGTTTGGTTGCTGAGAGAATTTTGTGAACGGAATTTTCTTTGGGGTTGGGGATGGGGAATTGTTTCTTGATTAATAGATTTATCAGGGATTTGATTTCTTATGTGTAAATATGTAAAAAGTTGAAAGCTTTAGCTGAGACTAAGAACTATGGGCAATGGAAGAAAAAGGGTATTCTTGGTTTCCCTTTTTATTGCTTTTCTTATTGCCTCAGTGCATAAACAGATTGGTAGTGTTTAATTAATAGTGGGTTTTTGTTAATATACATTGTAGATCATGATATTTCTTTTAATTCCATTGCTTTCAGGTCCTGTATTGAAGAAAGTAAATAAAGTTTCAGCTTTTATGTTCATCTATCTTGATATTTCTTCAATTATTTGAAGAATTGTTTTCTTTGGCATTGAATTTCAATGGGGAGAGGAGGGGAAGACTATGGGAAGAGAGAAAATGCCATTGCTGCCTCTTCCGAGCAGGAGACTTTTCCTGCTTGGGCAAGAGATGTGAAACAATGCGAAGAGAAGTACCAAGTGAATCGAGAATTAGGATTATCAAGTGCTGAAGTTGAAAAAAGGAGGCAGATTTATGGATGGAACGAGTTAGAAAAACATGAGGGCACATCAATATTTAAACTGATTTTGGAGCAATTTAATGACACATTAGTTAGGATATTATTGGTTGCTGCAATTATATCATTTGTTTTAGCGTGGTATGATGGTGAAGAAGGAGGGGAGAAGGAGATAACAGCTTTTGTGGAGCCGCTTGTTATTTTCTTGATCTTGATAGTGAACGCCATTGTTGGAATATGGCAAGAAAGTAATGCGGAAAAAGCATTAGAGGCTTTGAAGGAAATTCAATCAGAGCATGCAGATGTAGTTCGAGATGGCAAGAAGTTGTCAAATTTACCTGCAAAGGGACTTGTCCCAGGTGATATTGTGGAGTTGAGAGTTGGTGATAAGGTACCTGCAGATATGCGGGTTTTGAGTTTGATAAGCTCAACTGTAAGAGTTGAACAGGGGTCATTGACTGGAGAGAGTGAAGCTGTGAGCAAGACTGTTAAAGTTGTTCCTGCGAATTCAGATATTCAAGGGAAGAAATGTATGGTTTTTGCTGGAACAACTATGGTCAATGGAAACTGTATTTGCTTGGTCACCCAGATTGGCATGAATACAGAGATTGGGAAGGTGCATTCACAGATTCATGAAGCATCACAGAACGAGGAAGATTCCCCATTAAAGAAGAAGTTGAATGAGTTTGGAGAGGTTCTGACAATGATAATTGGAGTGATTTGTGCATTGGTTTGGCTTATTAATGTGAAATACTTTCTTTCTTGGGAATATGTTGATGGATGGCCAAGAAACTTTAAGTTCTCATTTGAGAAGTGCACATATTACTTTGAAATTGCTGTGGCATTGGCTGTCGCTGCCATTCCAGAAGGTTTACCAGCAGTTATTACAACATGTTTGGCACTGGGAACCCGGAAGATGGCTCAAAAAAATGCACTTGTCCGGAAGCTGCCTAGTGTTGAGACTCTTGGTTGCACAACTGTTATCTGTTCTGATAAGACAGGAACTTTGACTACCAATCAGATGGCTGTTTCAAAGCTTGTTGCTATAGGTTCAAGGCCTGGCACTCTGCGATCTTTTGATGTGGATGGGACTACATATGATCCTTTTGATGGGAAAATACGAGGCCGGCCTGTTGATCGAATGGATGCCAATCTTGAAATGATTGCAAAGATTTCTGCTGTTTGCAATGACGCTGGTGTTGAGCAATCTGGGAATCATTATGTTGCATCTGGAATGCCTACAGAAGCAGCACTAAAGGTGAAAAACCATTTCTGAAATTGAATCCTTTTTATTTGTGTATAGTGCATCTGTTTGAATAAATCCAAGCCACCATGAAGCAGGAGCCAAAACAGAAACTTAACTTTAAACCTGTTTTTAAGTAGCATATTTTATTTATATATATATATATATATATATGAAACTTGAGATGTGCTTTCTAAATTTGCAGAGTGCAAACATGCAGTATATATGAGAAGTTCATGTTGCATATTTTTCCCTCACTGAGAGATTATTATTTTGTTCTTTTTTCATTCCAGGTTCTGGTTGAGAAAATGGGATTTCCTGAAGAGTATGGTTCCTCTTCAGGTCATGGGTCTCCTCAACGTATGTTAACTGGTTTCTGTCCTATAATTTTATCGCTTCTTAGGTGACAATTTCTAGATCGTACTGAGCTTTCTCTTTTATTTTATGCTATACAAGGCTGTTGTCAACTGTGGAACAAATTGGAGCTAAGAATTGCAACACTTGAGTTTGACCGTGATCGAAAGTCCATGGGAGTTATTGTGAATTCTAGCTCAGGACGAAAGTCGTTGCTAGTAAAGGTTTATTCCTTTCTCTTTGCCTCATAACATGGACTGACCACTTGTTGATTTGTTTATGACATTATGTTGATTGCGTGTTCTCTTCCAATATACTTAATTTTCTTTTTGGTGCCAGTAACGCCCTAGTGAGATTTGATCATGATGCTCTCTGCTGGTTTAACCATTATTTTGCACAGCCTTTCCACATGGCATCTAATTGTTCATGCTTAATGTTGCAGGGTGCTGTAGAGAATTTGTTGGAGAGGAGCTCTTTTATTCAGCTACTTGATGGCTCTGTCGTAGAACTAGATCAATATTCAAGGGATCTTATTTTACATAGTCTCCATGAAATGTCAACAGATGCATTACGTTGCCTTGGTTTCGCGTATAAGGAAGAGCTTTTTGAGTTTGCAACATATAATGGTGATGAAGATCATCCAGCTCATCAGCTTTTGCTTAATCCATCCAATTATTCTTCAATTGAGAGCAAACTTATATTTGCTGGTTTAGTTGGGCTAAGAGTAAGTTGTGGCTGGTTTTATTTGTATTTCTTGTTTTTCTTACTTCTGTCCCACCTGTATCTGAACCACTTGAATGAAACTATCAAGGATCCTCCTCGGAAAGAGGTTCGACAAGCAATTGAGGACTGCAAAGCTGCTGGGATTCGTGTTATGGTGATTACAGGAGACAACAAGAGCACAGCAGAAGCTATTTGTCGCGAAATCGGTGTATTTGGGTCTCATGAAGATATCAGTTCAAGAAGCTTAACTGGAAAGGAGTTTGTGGATCATCCTGATCAGAAAAATCACCTGAGACAGAGTGGAGGTCTCTTATTTTCTCGGGCTGAGCCAAGGCACAAGCAAGAAATAGTGAGATTGCTGAAGGAGGATGGTGAAGTGGTTGCAATGACTGGGGATGGAGTTAACGATGCTCCTGCCTTGAAGTTGGCCGATATTGGAGTAGCAATGGGTATTGCAGGGACAGAGGTATCCACTACCCTTTTCTCTATATTTATTTTTGTATAATTTGGTGGATGACATCTTGGTGTCCATATGGTTACTTTCATCTTTTCATGTGAAATTTTGTTTTATGCTTGTGTGCCCTGTTTCTCTACTGTACAATGTCAGCTCTCCTTGTGAAGTAGCATTTTGCCTGATGATTCAGAATGACCCATTTTATTAGCTTCTATCGAATTTATATGCTGTATGTGTAGTTGTGCTGCAAATTTTCCAGAATGCATATGGTGGAGCAGCTAGCTATATTACTTTTTCCTGGCATTATGTAGGCATAAAGTCAATAATTATTCCAAAAATTTTTTGGTGGGATTTTATCTGTATTGTTTTTGATATCTTAGCATACATCATTGCTGATTATCAGGATATTAGAATTCTACATCGTGAAACCTAGTATGCTAGTCTAAGTTATTCATGAATGCATTTTTTTCTTATTCCATCCAATCTCTCTCTCTCTCTCTCTCTCTCTCTCACAATCACTGCTTGATTCTTTCCAGGTTGCAAAGGAAGCCTCTGACATGGTGCTAGCAGATGATAACTTCAGCACTATAGTTGCTGCAGTTGGTGAGGGCAGATCCATTTACAACAATATGAAGGCTTTTATAAGGTTATTATTGTTATTTCTTTAGATGTATTACTTGAAAATGAACTGGCATTTTTGTTGCATATCTTCGGGGTTTGTGCTGCTGATTTTACTGAAATGTAACAACTTGCACTGAGTCTGCTTTCTTAATGACAAAGTGGCACTCATTCAAGCTACATTCTAGCCCAATGAAGCACATTTATTTAGTGTCATTTTCATTCCTTTTTCTTTTCTGCCAAAATTTTTGGTTATTTGAATTAAGTTTCAATTCGCTATATAGAGTGACATTCTTCTACTTATAATTGCAGGTACATGATCTCCTCCAATATTGGTGAGGTTGCTTCTATATTTTTGACAGCTGCTTTGGGTATTCCAGAAGGCATGATCCCTGTTCAGCTTCTCTGGGTTAATCTTGTTACTGATGGACCTCCAGCGACTGCTCTAGGGTTCAATCCCCCAGACAAAGATATAATGAAGAAGCCTCCTAGAAGAAGCGATGACTCATTAATCACTGCTTGGATCTTATTCCGCTACCTGGTAATTATCTTTGCTTTTTCCATTTGTTGAACCAAAATTAGTAGGAAACTCCTTTTTCTTGTCCTGGACTACCTAATGTGGAAGTAACAAAGATGTGAGCGAACTTAATTACTTCATTGGTGCAGGTTATAGGATTATATGTCGGGATAGCTACAGTAGGGGTATTCATCATATGGTACACGCACCACACCTTCTTAGGCATTGATCTGAGTGGCGATGGCCATAGTCTCATTACCTACTCCCAACTTACCGACTGGGGTCAATGCTCTTCGTGGGGAAATTTCTCAGTATCACCATTCACAGCAGGTTCCCAAGTGTTCAACTTCGATACAAATCCATGCGATTACTTAAAGTCAGGAAAAATCAAGGCCTCAACTCTTTCCCTCTCTGTCTTAGTAGCCATTGAAATGTTCAATTCCCTGAACGCCCTCTCCGAAGATGGAAGCTTATTGACAATGCCTCCTTGGGTCAATCCATGGCTTCTTCTGGCCATGTCAGTGTCATTTGGGTTGCACTTTTTGATTCTCTACGTGCCATTCCTTGCTCAAGTATTTGGAATTGTTCCCCTCAGCCTCAACGAATGGCTCCTCGTAATAGCGGTTGCTTTCCCGGTCATTTTACTGGATGAGGTTCTCAAATTCATAGGAAGATGTACAGCCAGGTCGCGCTATTCTGCTGCAAGAAAATCGTCAAAGCATAAAGCTGAGTGATCATACAGTAGTTGTAGCAACATTTAGATGCTACTTTTAATAGACGCTCAAGTTTCCATGAATTCTACTTGCCCGTTTCTTCATGTTTCATTCAAAGCAAGCAATCTATTACTTTATCGTCTGTCTGCAGTTGACATAAGTACCATGTTCCGCAGTTATTACAGTAATGAACACTAATAAAACACCCTCATTAACTTCTAACAGTTAAACCGACCATAAAAACACCAGCATCATAAACTAGAAAATGGGTAAAATTCAAGTCAACTTTCTGGCTATTTTCCTTCCCAATGTCTCTTAAAATCAGTAGTTTTTTTTTTATGGCAAACAAAAAACCAATAATTTTATTTAAAAACAGAAGTAGACATTAATATTAACAAAATGAACTTGAAGTTTCATTAAAATCTGCAATTCAAAGCACGAACTACAAATCGCAAAAGCAAACAACATGACCCAACTTATGATTTCTAATAGTCCTAAAAGCCCAACCTAATTACAAGCCGTAGCCCTAATTCTAAAGCTCAAACATTCTTGACAGCAAGACTTCAAATCTCCTACCCACCCGCCTTTTTCCTTCAAACATAAACCCTAAATCATCTAACCACCAAATCCATACAAAGTCCTACCCTGCCTCTTCAGTGCATAAACCACATCCATAGCAGTCACAGTCTTCCTCCTCGCATGTTCTGTGTAGGTCACGGCATCACGAATCACGTTCTCCAAGAATATCTTCAGAACTCCACGGGTTTCCTCATAGATTAAACCGCTGATTCGCTTGACTCCTCCTCTACGAGCCAACCGCCGAATTGCCGGCTTTGTTATTCCCTGGATGTTATCACGGAGGACCTTACGGTGGCGCTTTGCTCCTCCCTTGCCCAGTCCCTTACCTCCCTTTCCTCTTCCTGACATCTTTGGATATTGATCGTAGATTGGTCGAGAATTTAAAGACTTGGTAATTTGATAGGAAAATTTGGGGTAAGGGTTAAAATGGTGCGGTATTTATCGGGGAAGTGGTGAGGAAGCTGTTGGGAAAGTGATCCGTGTGAAATGTTTAACGATGAATTGTGGCCGTTGTTAAGTTGTAATGGAGGGTTGAGATTAGGAGAAGTATCGACACGGATAAATGACGTGGATAGATTTAGCGGTTATTTTGAAGCACCTTCTTCGAATTTTGTGTTTCTTTTGTGAGTTGAAAGCTCGAAAACGATTTTTGGAGCGGAAACTAGCGCGCCATGATTTGGCAATTGTCAATTGGGGGCCCATATATGAAGCCCATAAAAATGGTTTTGGCCCAATTGAATGGTGTTTTGGGACTTTGTCTTTTGACCCATTATTCATTAACAACTAATTATCAGTGGACAAACCATTTAATTAAAAGTATAGATCCACTTATACTTATATTAGTATTATACTTTTTTCTATTTTTGAATCAAAATTATTGAGATTTAAAATATTTATTTTGATATAAATTCAAAAATAAAAAATATAATACTTATACTAATATAAGTAAATCTTTATTTTTTTAATAAATGTAATTACATATAGACTGATGTTGACTTAAGTGATAAAAAAAATTATTTCTTTTTAATTGCCTATGTTCAAATTTATTAAAAGACTTTGATAATTTTTCATAAATTCTATAAATTAGACGTAAATAAACTTGTTTTATCCGATTCAATGAAATGATATAATGAGAGAAATTCAAAAAAAATTTATCACTAAACCAAATATAATTATTTAAGTAAAAGGGATAGATAAATTATAAATATGATATTCTTAACCTTGAGTAACTCTAAAATTTTTAGAACATCTTTTGATTTTGAAAAAAAATTATTTATATCATAAAAAAATTTAAAAATATTCTTTTAATTTATTTATAAAATAATCTTTTAAAATATTTTTATACAGAAAATGCTTTAAATAAATTTTTTATAAAAATATTAGTTATAAACCTTAAAATATAAAAAGATTATTTCAAACTGTACAAAAATACTTTAAATAATCATTTTATAAAAATATTAACCCTAAAATATAAAAAGATTAGTTCATATATTAATATTTATTTTCAATGATTATTTTATTTAAATATAAAAAGTTTAATCCATATGATTATTTTATTTAAATAATCATTTTATAAAAATATTAACCATAAACCCTAAATCAATTTAAATATTAATTCATATGTTAATCGTCTCACATACTAAATCAACAAAATCCATTTAAACATTGGCTGAGCAAAGTTTTTATTTCTTTTTTATATTATAGCACTGATTCTTAATTACATGAGAAAAATTCTTTTGCACTTCCCTACCAGAACCATTCATGTTTTTATAAGACTACTTAATTCTTCAAGCCCAAGCGAGGGCCATTTAAGGTTGGGCTGACAGAGCCTATCGGCTAAACCCGAAGTCCTGGACCAGAATCCAGAAGGTTCTACCAAATCCTAGCAGATCCATGTTCCAGACGTAACTGCAAAGTCGGTTACTTCGCATTTGAATCTTAAATCGGTTATGCTGGAAATTACTAGCTTCTTCCTTTCCTCGGTATATGTACCCAGGTTATCCATTTATCTCTGCCATTGAAATTCACAAGTTTGGAAAAATCCAGCGCTTTATCCAGCGGCTTCTCAGAATCCAAACACTCTTAAATATTGCAAAAAATGGCAATGATTCCTAACTTCTTCGGCAACCGACGCAACAGCATGTTCGACCCATTTTCTTTGGACGTATGGGATCCTTTCAAGGATTTCGATTTCCCATCGCTCTCCTCGTTCCCTCAACTTTCCCGAGAAAACACCGCTTTCGTCAACACACGCGTGGACTGGAAGGAGACTCCAGAGGCACACGTGTTCAAGGCGGACCTTCCAGGGCTGAAGAAAGAGGAAGTGAAGGTGGAGATTGAAGACGACAAGGTGCTTCAAATCAGCGGAGAGAGGAACGCAGAGAAGGAAGACAAGAACGACACGTGGCATCGCGTAGAGAGGAGTAGTGGGAAGTTTTCGAGGAGGTTTAGGTTGCCGGAAAATGTGAAGATGGATAATGTCAAGGCTTCTATGGAAAATGGGGTTCTCACTGTTACTGTTCCTAAAGTTGAGATGAAAAAACCTGACATTAAATCTGTTGAAATTTCTGGTTAAGGTTTAAACTTGTCTGGTTTCTTTCTGTCGCTACTAGGTTATGTTGTTTGATTGGTGTCTTTGTTTTATTTTGTTTTGAAGATCGTCTAGTGTAAGGTTTAGTAATGTAAATCTTGAACTTTACTGTAACCATGGTTTGACTATTTGTTTGAATTGTTTTCCCACAAAAAATGAGTTACCAAATTTTTTTTTTTTATCTCATAATGAAATCTGTTATTGTTGGGGTAATTGCTTTTGAATAATTGAGTGTGCATGTTTATGAGAGGCCTACAATCAAGTGTGCTCTTGATTGAATTGAATCCTTGTAATTGTGAGAATGGGCCTCAATACTGTCTGAGATTTGAGAATAAAGAATGTGTATTATTGCCTTTGGCCCATCATACTTCAAGCTGTTAACCAATTCAAGGCGTTCTAAGCAAATGATTCAAACAGGTAACTTTTGTACTTCCCTTTGTTTTCTCGTTCCTTTCTGTCTTGTTTTCTCACTGGGTAGCTAGGTATCTGATCTCTTGATGGTCAAGGGTGCCTTACTGGCTTGTCTTGTCCTAATTAAAAGAAAAAAATCTGGGTTAAAGACAAAAAGCTCATGCCCTGATAATGGCATGATAACCATTTGACCGAAGGCAACCCTGATTGCATGATCACTTCGAACAACCGAATCTCCAATTTACAGCCAAAAAGACGAAACTAGGAATCTATTGATAGGCTTCGAACATCATTGTGATTTCAGTTGTTAGGTTATAAATTTTTAATCTAATTGAACAACCAAATTAACGGAAATATAATTAATTAATTACATCTATAGATAAAAAAAAATTATTAATTATAAATAATTACAAATATATAATAATAATATCAATCAACTCTTACAATTAATATACATAAATTTTTTTATTTTTTTTAATTTTATGAAATATTTTTAACTCAAGTAAACACATATTTATATGCATTATACTTATTTAAATTTTCTCATTCTTTTTTAATTCATTTAAACATGGATATTCATAAAAAATTTTCAATTTTTTTAGTTCTATGAGATGTATACTCATTAAAATCTTATAATTTTTTTATATACTTTTTCATATATAAGACTCCCATTATTTATAAATATATAAATTTATCTAACAAAAAATTTTTTCTTTTAGAAATTTTTATAACAAAAATTTTTATTTATCCACTAATATCTAATAATTTCCAAAAATTTTCAAACCAAAACTCTTATATGATTTGATTCACTATTCCAAATAGGAATAACAAATGTCTCCACCTTACTGCGTCTCATGTGCAAACGTGATTCTTTTTACTTCTTGTAAATGAGAACACTTCATCAGTTTTGTGAAAAGTATTAGTTAATTTTATGGCCAAAAAGGGACTAATGATCACTGCTTAGACTAATCAATTCCTACCATCATAATTGAGATGGCTAGCATCTTCCCACGAGCATGCAGGGATCGCATTGGATTTGGCTCATTTTCTTGGCATTATATATGCAACTTATGTTGTCGTTGGTGATTGGACCCAGGTTTTAATTCAATAACATTAGAAACAACATGCCACATTACCTTTCCCCCATTTGCAATCCCCCAAAACACTTGATTTTCACCTTTTTAGTATTCTTTACAAAGATTATTGTCCATTTGCATATTTCAAAGACTATGAAGATACTTTGGACACAATGATGAATCGAAAGGAAAAAGAAAAGAAAAAATAAGAGAGCTTTACTGTTTCTAGTGTAACTTGTTTGATTGTTTATTATACTTGGATAATGGGAACTTTAGATTCTTAAAAACGTATAGTTTAATGTCTTTTCCTAATGCAAAGGTCATACATGAACTTAGTGGGCAAACCACAGCCGCGGCCGGGGCCCGACAAGAAATAAACATAGCCGCCCTTCCCATCTCTAGGGGTTGCCTTAGAAGAGTCATAGCCTTTAACTAAAGAGAAAGTAAGTTCAGATTCTCGTATTGTAATAAACATCAAGCTCATCATTATCAAGTAACATGAGCTATGAGTGTAATATATATGTACTTACTGCTTTCTGATTACATTATTAATATTGGTAAGGCTTGAAAAAGCAAAAGAACACACTTCAGAAAAGCCTGAAAAGACAGTGACAATGGGTGATTGTTTTTTTACAAATTTATCTACTATGAGTTTATAGGAACGAATTCATTGTTTCTTATTCTCTGTTTTCTTTTTCAATTTGATTTTCTCCTTGAGATTTTCTCAGTTAAATGATTAAAGGCTAATGTCAAGTAAGAAAAATCTGGTAAAGATCCTTTTCTTACAGGCTTGTCATTGTGGTCTAGCAATCTCAGTCAAAGGAAATGGTTTTGCCAATGGAAATGTAGCTGCCTTTCTTTTGAGTTGTTCTTTCTTCAGACAGAAAAAAGTTTCATCCACCTGAAATTGTCTCTATCCTTATTCAGTGTATTTTGTGATTTCCAAGAGTGAAAATGGCAATTCATTCACCTGTTATTGTTGTGTCCTTTTTGTTGGTGTATCAGTATCTGCCATTTGATTTCTAGCAGCCAGACAACCTTATTAAAAATGATTGACTTGCTGCTTCCCTTGTTTAATTTATGTATTGATAATTGATCCAATTCATCAGCAATTTCCAGGCCCTTTTCCATTTTCCATGCTCATCTCACGCATCAGTTTCTTATATAATGCCTACTAAGTTTGTGCTTGTCAAAATCTGTACTTTGTTGAAAACCACTTTTGCACCACAAATTCTCCTCTTTTAACTGTAATATATGTGACCCTAACAGTTTCTCTGACCTTATATTTAGCTTGTTGCTTTAGATTGCAATATGCTTTATGAATTTTGAGAGGACAAAAGGAAAGTCTAGATTCGGGGCTTGCCACTATTCAAACTTTTTTTTAATATTTGAGGTTACTAGAGATTGAATAGATTGAATCCTAATCATGTTTAATATTCTACTAACAGAGCACATCGTTGTCGGCAGCATTCACACCTTTTTGTCAACAGTTAAAACTTCTTAATCAAGTATCAGATTAGTCGAGAAATTCGGGCTCAAATCAATAATATAAGAAATGTACCACTTGCTAACATCTGTAATTTGGATGGGGCAAAGTATGGGTTATTTGAATGTGATGGAAAATTGGCTATTGTTCAAGTTAATCACAAATTTGCCTATTCTGCAACTCATGCCCTGCCATTTATAAATCTCACTCTCGGGTGAGCCTTGGAATTCCATAATCTTATATGAATAATGTGATCAATCATATTTACAACAACTATTTGAAGCTGAAAATGACTTAACATTGCATCAAAATATATATATAAAACAAGCAAATCTAAAATTTCCACACTAATATTTGAACAAAACAGTACCAACTGTTTTAATATTAAGGATTAATCAGATTTGCCGAGAGCGAATCTAGAAAATGGATCCAATTCTCCTCATCTTCTTCCTCTTCCTCTCCACCTACGTTGCTCCATTCAACCTGAGGATTCTTTTCAATTTCTTCATTTCTTGCGAATCGTCCTCGGATGCGTGGCCTACTATCTGCCAACGTTTTCCTACATGCATACTGAAAAATCTCTCATATTCATCAGCACATTATTAGCATCATGTCATTCAAAAAACGACTTTGGAACACAACTAATTACATGTTTTTAGCCGTTATTTGAAAGGAGAGTATGAACGAGTGACTTTTTCAACTCATGCTTACTTATCTTTTACTTGGGGATTCTTGACTTCTTTTCGTGCACTCATCAAGTTCAAACGACTGTTTCAGTCTCTGTCTAATTGACTCGCTTATGGATGGTACAACAAAAAAGTGAACATAAATTGAATGTGACAGACACCTAAAAGCATCACTGGAGGGGGAGGAACCTTGCAACTAGATTTTCTCCCTTTTTATTTTATTATTAAAATATACTTTGGTTAAACTTGAATTTAAGTAAAAAAAATTATCTTTATTAATTTCCATGATAATTATTAAGAAAAAAGAAGATAAAAGTAAGGGAATATAATTATAATTAAGACCTTAATCTTCTTGTTGAAGTTCCTGAGGTTTCTTTTGCTTCGGTATCTTTCAATCCTCTCTTTCTTTTCCTCGGGACTATAGCGGCAGGCTCTGCTCATTCCTTCAATGATAGCATTACTCTCACTTGACAATGGACTCTCTGACCTCCGATGACTCTGCTGCCCCTGGCCCTCCACCCCCCCACACACAAAATTAATTAAAACTAAAAAGGCATTATTAATAAAAGAAATAAATTATATACACATAATAATTAAGCAAAAAAAATTATCTTTCAAGTTTTATTTTTTTATAAGTTTAATTATTGTGTTATCTCATATTGTGTTTGAAATTTGTTTAATTATTAAAATATTAATTTTAATGATAAAAATCTGGAATAAACTCAAATATCAAAAAATAATTTATTCAACAGTCGCGTGTATGATATTTCTCGCAAAGAAGTAACAGAGAGAACCGTACTGTTTCGGGTACAGTAGTTTGATAAACCAACCTGGTCCAAATCACCGGTACTAAAAACTCTCCTGACCGGACCGGAATCAGAGTCAATAAACTCGTTAAGGCTCGAGGCGAAATGACTATGAAGCCCGTTCTTTTGAAATTGAAGGGAATGGCTACTGACGCTCCTCTGCATCAAACTCGGTTTCCCAGTCCGAGTACAGAAACTCGGCGAGTTGTAACTCCCGCTGCCGCTGCCACTGTGGAACGCGTCACTCACGGAGTCGGAAGACTCGGCCACAGTGAGTTGAGTTAGCGAACGTAATGGGAAGTTTAACGGCGACGTTATGATGTCCTCGGGAGACGGCAGGGAGTCGCTGAGAAACTCGGAGGAGGAGCGTGGGAATGTTGGGTGTCCAAACATAGCGCGTCGGCCCCGGAGGGGTTTTGATTGGCTTAATTTTGAGTGTTTTTTTTTTAAGCCTAAAGAAATGAGGAAAGGAGAAAGATGGACAGAGCTGAGGATGTAGAGCTTCTACTTATGAGGAGCCAAGAGAGCTGGATGATGACATGGAAGATGACATCATCTTTGTAAGAGGCGTTGACTGTTTTCCTATTTTTTAATTTAATTATTATATATATTTTTAAGAGATAATATTTAATAATTTTAAAATTTAAAATTTAACTTATATAATTTTTTTTTAATTTTCATATTATAACATTTTTTATATAAATTTTTTATGAAAATTTAAAATCACAATTTTTTAATAAATATTTAGTTTCGACGGGCCAAAACTCAATCAATTAACACTATGACATACTAAAATTTGAACACATATATGTAAACTTTTACTAATTAATTAGTAATAATCTTCATGCTTCGTATATATAAAGTGGGTTTCCCCACCTTTGAAATTGGCGAGGCAGGATTTGTTCATCATATGCTCGACTTGTCTAGTTTACCAAATTAGTGGCCGAGTCTCCTCTCTTGCATGAATAAAACAGTAGTACTAATGATCAGTTTTCCACCCTTTTGGACATTACAAAATTTACATTTTACTTTATTATCTTCAATTCTTAATAATGTGTGGAGATCATAAATTGATTTTCTATCCTAACTTTTTTTTTAAAATCATTTTGGACGGCCTTTGAGCTCCTTGCCTATCACCCTACCCATTCAATAAATTATTTCACTTTCAATCTTTGATATAAACCCTATAACTTTATATGTATAGAGAGAGTTTCAACAAAACATATATATATATATATAGTCACTCATAAAAAAGATCAAACCACCCACCCAAAGTGATTATATATATACATATATATATATATATATATCTCTTTTCCCAATTATTTCTCTTTTATTTGATTATTATTCAATCAATTTTGGGTCGCCCCAATAATAAGCTAGTTTCTCATGCATTAGATATGTTAGATGTATTTTTGAGTTTAAAGGATAAAACGATATTTTTTTTTTATTAGAGATTGTCAATAGATAATAAGAAGCATTTTTTATTTTTAGATCATGTTAATATGCACAGTGCCTCGTTAGTTTAACCACATCATCAATTTATCTCGTAAACCTTTCACTTTACACCTTTAAATAGGATTATCTAAGTACTATTTAATCATTTTATTTTTTTATTTTTTCTTTATTTTATTATTCCTATGATCTTTTATAATCAACCTTTGACTTAAACGTCAAAATGCAAGTATAGAAAAAATTCTCTATCTATGCCCTTAATCATTTTTTTCTCTCTTTTGTGATTTCAGAATTTTACCTCTTAATTTGAAATTCAACACAAAAAAAAAAAAAACAAATGTTTGTTAAAAAGTTAATGATAAGTGTAAAAAATAACATGGTTCATAAATCTTAATCAACGTATATAGAAGTGAAAGAATAAATTAGTGAAGCCAATTGGAAAAGTTCATATATAATTATAAATTGGGTCAAACAATGAAATGGAAGAGTTTGGGGCACTTTTCAATGTGGTCTTAGACATTTGTAATGTAAAGTTTCTCTTTCACAACATTATTTCTACTGAGTAAAATGATTGCCTCTCAAAAGGATATGAAAATTCATGCCCAACTTGCATTTTGACAAACATCAAAAGAGAAATACCCCACACCCACTTTAATCAGTTCAAGAGAGATGGACTTGAAAAGCATTTTACAATTAATGCAAACCCCATGTGCCGAGCATATAGTTAGAATTATTATTAAATTATTTATAATAGATAGCTAGGCTAGCTAGGGTTGACGATAATATTTTTTATATTATATAGTTAGGATTTTGTTGATCAACGAACATAATTATCATCATAATCATCATTAGAATGACATAGCACCCTTTCAATTTTGGAAAGGAAAATTTGAGTTAGGTTCTTGTCACCCAAGGTATCTTCATTGTAATTATTAGAATGACTTATTACCCCACTTGTTTCTTAATCTAGATTAAAAAAAATTAGAATAGGAAGAGCATGATCTCCTTTCTCAAATTTGTTAAATTGTTCAACTTTTTTCTTAAACTTGTAGCATTACATATATGTCTTTAAACTTTTACAATACTTTAATTTCATAAATTATAGATTAATTAGAGGTAAGAGAAACTTAAAAATAAGTTTTTTTTTTTTTTTTTACAAAGAATGCTATAGTTTTAATATGAAAAAAAGAGTTATAAGTGTTAGAATTTAAATTCAAATAAAGTAAATATCATCTTTTAAAGATAATTGTATAAAAAAATTAAGTATAGTTTCAGATTAAAAAAAATTATTTGAATAATTTTAAACTTGTTAAAATGTCAAACTCCAAAATTAGAGATGAGACTTGGAGCAAGCACATGCTAGAAAAGCCATCTATATATTATATAATCGAAGACCATGGATGTTATGGTTCTCTCTTTTGTTATTAGTCCAAAAGGCATTAGAAAAAAAAAGGGGCAGGGCCCCATGAAGTAAGAACTCGATGTCTTCCAAGAAAATAATTCTTTGGTTTTCCATGTTTAATTTTGCCATGGACCATCTGTAACCTTACTCAATAAGCGCCACATATACCAATTGCAAAGAGAAAAGAAAACGGTCTATTTGCTCAACCTCCTGACAATATACGGCAATGATGAGCTTCCAAATTTTCTAACGAATTAAATTGAAAATCTATGTTATTCGTATGTATCTATTGTTAGGAATATGTGTGGGGTCTAGCCCCAACTGTTTAGCCAATGAAAACGCCAACGCCTTTTGTCTCTGATTCTAAGAGAGCACTACGTAATAAAATAAAAAAGGGTTGTGTTTTTGGCGATGAGAGAGTGCGCCGAAAAGAGAAAAAAAAAGTAAAAAAAAGATAGAGAGAAAAGCAAGAACGAAAAGGTGATTGAATAAAAATTGATTTATGATTTGATTAAGTTAAAATTTTGATAGTAGATTTATGATTTAGAGTTTTATATTTTGAACAATGAATATTGAATTTGAAATTTTTTAAAAATTAATTTATGGTGCATTTGTTAAGTAAATTATTTGATAAAATTTTTTTAATTATCTTTTTAGTTATTGATTAGCTCTAATTTTAATTAAAAGAGAACTTTGTATATTCATTATTTGATAGTAGAGATTTTTTTGATTGCTCGTGATTTTTTCTTTATATTGGAGAGTTTTTCATGTAAATCTTGATGTATTTTATTTTTTTTTACGTTGTTGATTGTTAATTATTATCTATTATTGTAAGTTTATTATGATATATTGTTTGTGCATTATTGTATTTATTGCTTCAGGCCTAACTAATGGTATTAAAGTGAGGGTTATTTTGAGACATCAATATAAAAGCCACTCATGACATAAGTAAATTCTATTTGAGATCATGAAAGGTGATGCAGGTTTCATGATAAAATTAACAGCATCAAATTATTCAATTTGAAAGCCTATGATGGGAGATCATTTATACTATAAAGATTTATATGAGCCGGTATTAAGTGATTTGGCTAAATTAGCAAATGCAAAAAATGAAAGCTAGAAAAAGCTAAGTAGAAAAATGTTAGCTACAATTAGAAAATGAGTTGATATCAACGTGTTTCATGTAGTGCATGGGACAGATGCACATTCCGTTTGAGAAAAATCCGTAGCATTGTATAAGAGAAAAATAGGCATGAATAAAGTTATGCTTGTTAAAAAGCTTGCAATTTTACATTACGGGGATGGATGATTGATTACAAAATACTTGAGTGATTTTCAAGATATATTTAATTGGATGAGTACTATGGAGTTTAAGATGGATGATGAAATAAAGACATTATTTCTTTTGGGGTTCATTGCTAGATAGCTAAAATACTTTAGTTATGACTGTTCTTAATTTAACTATTGATTACAAAAGGACATTGAAGATGATAAAAGATAATATTCTTAATAAAAAAGTAAGGCAAAAAGATTTAGATCATGAGAATCAAGCTCTGGTCTAAAAAAATAGGGATAAAAACATCGACAGAGCTTAAAACTTAAAAAGTTATAAAAATCTAAACATAGATCTAAATTCAAAGATAAAATGAAGTGTTTTCATTATGGTAAGCAGGTCATAAAGAGTGATATTGTAAAATCTTGAAGCAAGAGCAGAAAGATAAAAAAGGTAAGAGTTCAAATGATAGCAATATTGCAATAGTAAATTCAGATAGTGATTCAGTTAATTTGATTTGTATTTATGATAATTATAATCATGTTGGTGATCTCGACATTGAGTGGATAATTGATATAGGAATGGTATATCATTGTGTTTTTAAAAGAGAGTTGTTTACAACTTACAAAGTAAGAGATTTTGGTTACACCAAGATGAGAAATAAGAGTGTGTTATAGATTATTAGGATTAATGATATTATTGTATAAATTAATATGGGTTGCATGTTGACTTTGAAGGATTTTAGACACATTTTGGATATGAGAATAAACTTACTTGCTATTAATATCCTTGATAAAAAAAATATGAGAGTCGACAAAAGAATGGGCAGTGAAAGCTTTTCAAAAGATTTATGATAGTTACAAGAGAAAAACTATGCTACACAATGTATAAGACATGGATGCAATTGAATGGTAACAAGATAAATACCATTGAGGATGACGCTTCAGCAAATTTGTGACACAAGAAGCTGACACACATGAGCAAAAAAAGATTACAAATTTTGATAAAACAGTTTTTCATTACCTTAATCAAAGGTATATTTTTCGATTCATGTGATCATTATCTGTTTGGTAAGCATTGTAGAGTTTTTTTCATAAGTGTTCTCAAAGAAAGAAAACTAGATTAAAATTGATTTATTATGACATATGTGATCCCATTGAGATTGAGTCATTGGGTGGTAATAGGTATTTATTGCTTTTATTAATGATGTTTATATAAGATTTGGATGTATATGTTAAAAAATAAAAGCCAAGTATTGCAGTATTTTCAAAAATTTCATGCTATGGTGAAAAAAATGATAGGGTTACCCTTGAAGTATATTTGAACTAATAATAG